GATGGTCTACGATTTACCAGATAATGAGGGGTTAAAAAGGTTCAAGGCGTCTTATTTGGGGTGGCGAAAATACCTATCTCCCAAACAAATTGCCACAGACTGAAAAACGTCAGCACGAATACTGTTGCTTTCTACCCCTTTGGTTTTAAACACAGACAGAGGCTGAGATATTAATCAACTCGGAATGAGTCCCATTACAGGATAGAGGAAGTTGGAACAAACGAAAGTTGTAACGTGCAAGACACTGATTAAAAAGTGAGCTTTCAATCACCTCACTAGATCCTACACTTTGCAATTATTCAGAATAGTGCTGGCACAACTGGTGAATAATTGGATTATCTTCGTTATGAAATCTGCTTGCAGGTTCAAAGTTGGTCTCATATACAACTGGTAAGGTCACAATTATGGCGTACTTACCAATGACTTTGAAGTTTTATAGGCTTTTAAGTGCCTTATGAATCATTCACTGTTAATTATTGTTCATTCTGCATCTCTTATGTTTCACTTCAGCACTTGTACTAAAATGCTAATAACTTCCCACAGTTAACGTAGTCCTTTGTAATTACAGCATAAAATTGACATGCCGTAGGTATTTTGTCACTTAAAATTTAGATTTGACGCTATATCTTATAACTTATTCAGTCAAAGGCAGATTTCAGAAACTATCTATCTACTTATTTATACATTTCTTTTTCAATGTCTCTCGCACATAGAACAGTATTCAATCTATGCGTAAGTTATATATTCTACAATTTTTAATTAGCGTGCGTATTCATGCTGTAAAAAAGGTTGGTTTCCGTTCCAGAAATAAATTAGTATTGTTACTGTTATAAATAACATAGGAACAAGAGTCAGATAGGATGGGCTTTCGTAGAATCATTTCTAAGACTCTCTGAATAGGAAAATGCTTCGCCATTGATAACCCCTCAAGACCTCTGGGCATCTTCTTGCAGAACTCAAACACATGCTAAGATGCTGCCATTCCACTCGAAACACTAGAGGTTTTTCAACACAAAACGCCATTTGCAAGGCCAAAGGATAGCACGAAACTGAGGAGACTCTCGAAAAGTTGCTTCAAACACCATGACTTCGGCACACTAAGGTAAATACTTAACGCTAGGCTCCATCTCACATACTCAAGATTTGCGTATGAGGGACGAAGAACGCACTGCACTAGTCAGTCCACTGAAAGATGGATTACCAAAGCTTTTATAATAATGAATATCGTGTACACAGTTCCCAAATCCCCCAAAACTGTTTGAAGTTAACTTGGTTTGAAATGTGCTGATCTCATCCCCGAAAACTACCTCGTTATTTGACATATTGTTAATAATAATATATTCTCATTTTGTACATGAGGGACGCCAGTTTACAGGCATCATCAATTTGATAAATTACATATACGATTAGTAAGCATATTTAATAATAGTAATTTAATAAAATACAGTTTTTCCTCCCTGTGTAGGACACACCATTTGTACATGGCATGGATAAGTATTATTTAAATTACATAAATTTGGTTCATGGTTAAATAATGTGGTTGCAGTCATTTTGTCTATGGGAACAATATGATAACTTCAAACTCTCCTGCTACTTTTTGTCCATCACAATCTTCATCGCTCATTTATTCGCTTCGTCGCAGATTGCATTCAGCTTCTTCTGTTGGATATTTTGGATCGCTTCATTTTCCGTTTTACCAACTATATTCTCTTTCACTGATCTGCAGACAGCCATTCGTTTTCTTGCCTCCTCTCTCTAAAATGACCGCACACGTTCCCTTAAATGTCACATTCAGAGTGTCACAATGCTCATCCGCATAGGTTTTCTCAGTGATGTTACGTAGTGTCTCCAAATTTTCTCTGATGCCTGCACTGAAGATGTGCTCTATAGGTTCGTCCTTCACTTTCTGAGTGTTGAGCTAGAATTGCGGTATAGTGTCAAATTTCCGGATAGCAGGGATCCTGCGCCTATCACTAGTTTCAGAAAATTAAGACTAATGTACAGAATACTGTACAGTGTAATTGGCGCAGAACAACACAAAACGGTTGTCAACACGATTGTTTATTCTTTGAGTGATAACGAAACGGATTAACAATGGTAAATCAGTGCCAAAGTCTGCAAATAAACGTTAATATAACGTATAACAATACTTATGATCGGATTTCTCTATTCTGCCAACTGATACACGATTAAGCAATGACAGCGTTCTTTTCTTCCGTCAGCGGAGACCGGTCCGAATAAATAAACTTTTCAATGTCCACCGGCATCTACATCCAGTTACCTTGAAGGTTATTAACTTGACCTAACACTTGACCACTAGATGATGGTCAAAGCTCATAGAGAATCATAGAAGTCAGTCTTTTTGCTTTCAACGGTCAGTAAGTTTGTGTCCTCTGGCTGGATGAGATTTTGGACAGCCAGATTTTAAGGGAACGGAGGGAGGCGGCTTCGTTGTAACATGGTCATGTAAATCTATATCCTGCTTATACCGTCGTTATCAAATACACCCCTAAAGAGTATCCTGGCCACCATATTAGTGTGGCTGCGTTGCAAAGTTAGCAGGTGGTGTGACCAAAGCTCAGGTTGAGCAAGATAGATGGTCACGCAACAATAAGGATGCTATTTCTAGTTGTAGCCAACCGAAAATGGAATTGGAGTGGTTCACGTAGCGTAACTTGATGGTTTCCACATCTGCTCATATTCTCAACTTTGTGCTCTGCAGGCCGCATCTCCACCTGTTTGTGAATGAAATACAGTTTCTTCAATTTTTGATGCACATCTGGTGAAACTGCTGTCGCCATGTGCTTATGCATATACCCGTACAAACAGCCATAGATTGTCAAATCACTGAAAGAGGTTAGAGGAGAAGATGAGATTTTCGTTCTCACTCATTTCGCCAAAAGCCTCCCGACCGCCAGTCAGTCCGCTTGCTATGTTGTTTACTTTCAGTTTGGCTTGCACTCACACCTCCACTAGAACTTTAATGTCTCCTTCATACTCGGGCATTGTCTATGATTTTTTGAAGTTTTTTTCAGAGTTATTCCTTCTATACTAGGTCTGAGGCGTTGGTAGGTGCGTGTAATTTAACATTTCCTGCATTCTAATTTGACTATCAACGTCATTATTATGCAGGATATGTTCTCTCGAAAATGTTATAAAGCGAAAAATATCCTAACACACATGTGGCTTGGAATCCAAATATCTGTTGATTATTAAAGTATCGAATATTTAATCAATGTAACCGGTGTTTCTAGATGTCATTACACGCAGTTTTGTGCATACTTTTTGCTTGGTTGATAGGGGAGTAAACTTACTTCACCTCAACAGGCTTTCCTTCTCTTCTTCTTGTGTCGCAAATTCGGTGTTACCTTGCCGTGTCGTCTTTGAGGTTGATATTACCAAGAGTAATTAGTATAGTCTGCTGAAGAATTATCAAGTGCACATACAACCAATACTTTTTGTTTTGACCCGTTGATGTTTACAGTTTTTATCTTCCACGTTAACTTTGACTGAGACGGTGGTTCGGATGAACATAAGTTATTGTTCTGCCAGTCTGCAACTGTTTAAAACGAACTAGAAAGTGTTGTAAACAAAGTGTATTAGCAGCGGTTACATGACATGTCCATTACTGGTACAAAAAAAGTACTTGATTAACTAGGTATTATACAAAAATAAACAAACACTAAACAACGGCTTTTCGACGGTCGGAATGGTTGGCTGAAAGCCTTAACTTTGATCAGCCTTCTAAAATAGAGAAAGTTCGTACCTGATGTTGTATTTCGATGGTACCTCAGACTATTCATCTCATGAATTATTAAGGGATACCTAACAAAAGAGTGCACGACACAAAGGTTTATCTTCTAAGTCGCATGTAGAAAGAATCACATGACTGCTTGTTTCGGATATGTAATTCCATTTTCTAAAATGTGCTTCACAAACTCAAGAAAATATCCATGGGAAACACGTTCTTTCCTGCTAGTGAATTAGGATATACTAAACTCTTATTTAGCTATTTATTATGTATAAGATTTTGAGTAAATGAACTTGAGTGGGTTTTCAAAGGAAATAGAAGTCAGTACATTAATATTGCAGTTAAATTTCGTTTTGTGCTATGAACAGTTTACTATCTAAACCTAGTATATGCGAATTAACTCAGTGATTGCAGATTTATCATAATACTTAACAATCAACCTAATAACTGTGAAGGTCAGACTGAAAATAAGCATCCAGTGACAAAAATTGACCTCATCACTTTAAAATAAGCAAAATGTCTAAAAGAAACCTTTAAAATTCACTGGCAGACGAATTAACGAAAACATATAACTAGTTGACGCAGGAACCCATCGTAACCTTGAACCTGGATATATCGTCTCTCATTATTGATACAGGTTTTAAGACTCTACTGAAGTTGATGTCAGTTTTGTCAGGGTAATTTGACTGGTAAATTTGTTCAAGGTCGATGTCGGCTAGTAGCTTTTTGTTAGTTCTCGCAAATGCGTAAGTTGAGTTGATGTTATTTACGAGTGTTTTAAGTTTGATATTCACAAGTATTACAAAATCGCATGATTTCGCAAATATTTCTCAAAAGCTTTTACATCTCGTGGAGCCATATACTGTACACAACAGACATTCTGACTGGAAACTAAATGAAGGAGACCTTGAAGACAAGTAATTAGTGCAAGTTTATATTATTTCCTAGATATCTTCATTATGCTTTGCTCGTTGAAAAATTAGAAGACCTCAGGAAGCGTTGTCCAACTATTACCTCTCTGTATACTGTCGGTAAATCCGTCGGTGGTAGGGATCTATGGGTGTTATCATTCGGTAAAATCTCAAAATACCATGTTCCTGGAGTGCCAGAAGTCAAGTTGGTTGGCAATATGCACGGCAACGAAGCGATAGGACGGGAACTAATCATGCGACTTGCATACTTACTTTGTTTGAACTACGGTTCAAACGAGTTTATCACATTACTAGTGGACCATACACAAATCCATCTCATGCCGTCGGCGAATCCTGATGGTTTCGAAATTTCAAATGAAGGTGAGTAGTTTCTGGTGTGAGTGCATTGTCTAATGCTTGTACGTGACAATTTTCCTCGTTAATATGGACTTTTCTTCATTCTTATTATTTCGTATTACTATTCATAGTATTACATAACTAGATTTAACTGTATGTCCAGCTATTAATGAGGTTATATGCTTTAATAAAAGAAATGCATTGCACTTCTTCCGGACCAAAAGTTATGACTGATGTCATATTTTTCAAAACTTATCTACTTTATGCCCCGAGCGGTTTCCGTCATTTTTAATGGCATGAATTGAACGTCGAAAGTCTCTGCCATTCTAACATAAAAGTTGGTATGAAGGAGGACGATTAATGGAAGACGTTAGGTTAATTCTCATCATAATAATTAATTGGTTCCTCATCAATGGCTATTACTTCACTATTGTGATTTGGGCGAAAATTTGACGCAGTACAAGAAACAAAGGAACAAAATACTGGTCCTAACATAAGTGTGCAAGTTGTTTATTATTATTTCAGTTGTCTCTTGTCTACAGTTCTCAAATGCTGGGATAAGGTATATCAACCAATAAGAACCACTAGTCCGAGTTGTAGCGTAGATATTTATAGGCCTCTTGGAAAGTCAATATTAAAACACTTAGTCCTACTGGTAATGGTGACGTCGATGAGTTGTGTTCATCCCATATTTTTTTGTCATAGGTAAAGATGAATGGAGTCACATTTAGGTTAATTTAGACAATTAACCAGTTGAACTTGCAGTTATGTTGCGGACAGTGGATGTAACATACAGAAGCATTCCAAAGCTTCCACAACGTTCCTGTTGGAAAGAAGAAATATGAATAAGTTTGAAACAAAGGTTACGTGTAAACCTGTTAACGTACGTATAGACGTGGTTTTCCTGACTTAGGAGCTCTGCTCACTCAGCTAAAATAAATAATATAATTTACCTATTACATGCTGTATCTCTGGCTTCAGATACATCAGTCAGATCAATCGCAAAATTTCTATCAGACTGTCGGAGTATACAATTCTAGTCATATGTAGGGTGACAGACCCAGCTAGGATAAATAGTGTAGACGAAACTTCACCATACGTATGAGACGTTACGTACGGGTTCATCCAGTCAACGTCTTACGTGTACAGTAAGAATAACGCAGCGCAAATACCGAGACGTTTGGGAAATAGCATTGCCATTAGAATCAAAAAAATAAAATTATACGAAGAGTACCATGATATGAATATTTCTCCAGTAAATAATACTGTATTACTATGTGTTGTGCCAAATAAACTTCATTTATTATTCTACTGTATTATTGCTTATATATTTTAATAAATTCTGTGAACATCTAGTAGGTACTAATGACTCTCTGTATACCTTTTGAAATCTTTGCTTAGGTGACGAAAGTGGTATTGTTGGACGCAACAATCTTCACAATGTGGATTTAAATCGTAATTTTCCTGATCAATTTGGAAAAACTTATGAAAATATGGTACAGGTATGCATATAATGCATGGAAAATGCAATGTATTATTTTTCTTTCAAAATTTAGGAACCGGAAACTAAATTAATCATGAAATGGTCAAAGTCACATGCATTTGTATTATCAGGTAATTTACACGCTGGTTCACTTGTCGCATCCTATCCATTCGACGGAAGCGCAAATATGACTGCATATTATTCTGCTTCACCGGATGATGAAACATTTAAACACTTGGCTACAGTTTATAGTCGAGTAAGTTATGTTTCTTGAATAGTTTTACTTGTGTTTTTGCATTCCTTTTATGCCGAATGGAACATAGGGCTTCGAGCTTTATTTTTCAAGTTTCAGTAACAATGGTGTTATTTTGCGAGGTGGTGATGGAGGGGGGGACGCTAGCCTTATGTTTAACCTTTCATCTTTACCAGACTTACTGCCTGCTTCTTTATAGGTTACTCATTCGAATCAGTAGTTCTTTCCATAGTAGCTCATGGCGAGTCACGGAATTTGCATGGTAGTTATCTGCATGCATAGTTTTAGGTGAAAGGGTCGCTCCTTTTTTCCTTGAAGGTCTAAGTGTAAACAATAACTGCTCAATGAGCCTATAGAACGATATATCAAAACTTCTTAATGATTTGATTTCTCAGCTTTAAACTAAGACTTTCTATGCTAAACTTTTAAAAGCAATTAGTCTAAAATATTTAAATATTAAAATTATGCTGGCTAATCTTAGTCGATAGCTGAACCGTTTTCATTTTTCCATTAAAATTTCAAGACACATTTCATTAGAAATAATATATATATATATATATATATACTGTCATTATTCAGATGAATTGCATTATCAGTAATTTTAGTTTTATAGACATCGATTTGTGATTATTGAAAGTTTAGTTATCTGTTACGTTTCTACACCATGTTTTGATTCAGATTTGATAAAGCATGTGCATTAACAAAGTACACCTCACTGAGTAGTGGATTAATATTCAGGTACTAAGAAAGTGAAACAAATAATCACAGAATGATTAAACAATTTGTAGGTTCCTTCTAAAAAGTTAGAAGATAGAAAAAATCTACATTAGCTTTTACTTGCGTATCTAGTGATTGTAAGGTCGGTGACCTGGTGAAGCTATGGTTCATTGGTCTAGGCACTCGGCATAGGTTTTAAGGAGAGCTCGTTGACCTGGGACGCAGTGGCCCATGAATTTTAACTTATGTCAATATTCAGTTTTTAGCGCCACCGCCAGCCGATGTCGTTAGCGAGTATTTGTCCTCGCATCAGACTTCGTGGACCTCACTGGTCAAGACTTCTCACTAAAACTCCAGGAAACCTCGTCCTGTAGTCAGTCATTATAACTATTGTTATAATCCTTATTATTAAAACACGAACTTGGTGCGTTACGGACACCAAGTGATGTTTCACTAAAAATCTCATAGTTTGTGTGAGAGGCGGGATACTGTCTGGACGTCCAAACCGAAGCAGGTGGTTGCCTTAAGGGACCACCCGCTGAGTTCTTAATGTGATCTAATCCACAGGGCAGTGAAGCAGCGCTCTCTCACTTGTGAGGAATGCCCTGACTGTGTGAAGGCAGTGAATAGAACTTATCTGGTTGAGGCAATGAATGTGTCGCCACATGGGAGCATTTCGAGAGGAAGACTGAAGCCCTCGGCCATATCAGGTCGTTTGTAGAGGCATAATCAGTCCCTAGGGAGTATCACTGAAAATTGAAGATTATCAATTAATATATCAAGATTATTGTTTTGTCTATATTATAATGATAATTTTAATTTATTCATTAGTGTACGCGTTGTGAAAAAAAGTTTGCTGTATTGTCTGCATATTTCAGGCTCATAAAAGCATGTATTTAGGTCGACCTAAATGTGATGTGATCACTTTTCCTAACGGAATTACAAATGGCAACAACTGGTATCCATTACAAGGTGGTATGCAAGACTGGAATTATCTGTTTACTGGATGTATGGAGATTACCTTAGAATTGGGTTGTACAAAATATCCGTGGGCATCAGAAATCTCCACTTATTGGAATGATAACAAATATTCTCTGGTTTCATTTTTATCTGAGGTTAGTTATTTTATTATATGACGTTTCGCCATCTAATTATTATTATTCCCTTGGATTCTGAGCGAAACTACAAACTAATCAGCACATCTCCATTTCACTCTGGGCTTTCCGATCGCCCGTAAGCTTTCATCTTCTCCTCACACGATCTTCTTCATGTCATCCTCGGATGGCTAACTCGTCTTTTCCCACTTGGGTTCCCTTTAAGAGCTTTCCTGGCGTGTGATGACACTCAGTGGTCTTAGGGTGTGTCCGACGCACATCCGTTTCTTTTTATTTATTGGGTGATACTTTATTGGTTGGTTCGCTACATGTCTGAGTTCCTTGTTGCTAATCCTTCCTAGCCGACCATCTTGTTCTCAGTATGGAGCGAAAAGGGTGGGTGTTGATGAAAGTATGCAGCCTGTTGAAAATGCTTTACGTGACGCGTCAACTCTCTGAACCATATCGCTTTCACGGACTTTTAATAATGCATTATATATATGTAAACTGTGCTAGGCAAGGTATTTCCAAGTTATTTGTTGCAAAATGTTTTGCTACTTATATGTCTAATTTGTCTTATTTCTTATATCGCTGGTTGGAGATAGATTATTAGTAGGTGTATAGTAAATAATCATCAAAGGTGCGATATGCATCGACCTTTTAAGATATGTTTTATAGTTGCTTAAGCTTTCTGCTATTGGTTGTTTGGACTCAGTGGCAACAGTCTAAGAGTCACACTTATCGTGTGAGGTTTGGTGATGATAGCCAGTTGCCCAGGCTGAAATAGATGCATCGGGATCGGAAGCCGTGACTTGTTGGCCAATAACCCTATCTGCCTATATTTATATTGGCTAGTTGTTTTAAAATGTTTGCATATTCACGGACTAAAAGACAATTTCAGTCATAACTATTCGGTGGTTTATTCACCAGTGCTCTGAGTTCGAATACCGTCCATCCTATTTCAGCTTGGATGAAAGTGACATCATTACGACTAATTCAGTAAGCGTGACCCATGGACTGGCTGGCGTATGAAAAATCTATTTCGAGTTAATGTAGTCGATTTGTTTAGTTCATACAGGTCTCAAATATTCCTCACCCACTAATGTTCCGATAATCGGAGAGGATGGCGAGACTTCACACCCCAAAATGTCTATTTAATACATACATGTGTACATAATTGATTTTCTGAATGTTACTGTTGACCTCTGCTTTTATTGGGCTTGAAAGATGTGTAATTGTAAATGATTAGTGTAGTGTACGATAAGAATCAATATACTAAATGACTAATAATTTCTTCATATAACTTTGATCATTTGTAAAAAAACGAGATTATAACAGTAGTCTAAATATTCATCTGGAGTAATAGGATATACAAACATAAGTGAACTAATTGGTTTCCTTTCTCTTTTCCCTTTTTTGTTTTATTCCCTTTAAAGCTGTAGTAGTTTTGTAAAAGTATGTTTACTGTCTGTCTTTTTGAAATCGTGGAAAATACCCATTAGGACATTAGAAAGGAGAAAACACGAAGTTCAGTAAAGATATCTTTTCGGTGATTTCATTTTCATAGGCATTTAAATAACATACAATTATTATTTAATTCCACATTATTACGAAGGCGAATGAAAGGTGACAATTATTTCCAACTTGATATGGATTACGAGAGGCTTAGAAACTAAAATTACACAGGATTAGAACGAATTACAGGTGTGAACAAAATGAATATGGAAACAAATTGGAATAATAATAATAATAATTTTCAACTTGAAATTATAGTTAGGAGGTTTGAATATGGATTACGAGAGGTTTTGAAACAAAAATTACACAGGATTAGAATACAATTGTAGAATAGTTATTTCAAACGAATTACAAGTGTGAACAGGAAGAGCATGGAAATAAATTTAAAATAACTCTTCTTATAACTGAAAAAAGCATCTTATGAATTGAATGATGACAAAGACAGAAAAATACACACAGAGAAATAAACCGAAAATAAATCGAAGGCTAAATGAACATATCGAACTAGGTCCATGGTAATTGTAAAGTTTGCACTAGTTTCTTTCGAACACATAGCTCCGGTTTTTCGATGCATATAGTGAGGGCTTCTACAGTACAAGGAAATCGGAAACATACTGCCTTTAATAGGTTCCTATTTACTTTGTAATTGATTGTGAATGAATCGGTTGAGATGCTGTAGAAAGTGTTGATCAGGTGTTCAATTATGGCACTTTTGATTGAACCGTTGCCTCCTCTTTGCAGACATGCTGGGTAATGTTCTCTAACACATTTTGAAAGGACGTGCATACAGTGACCTATGTACCTAGCTCCACACGAGCAGGTGAACTGGTGTATGCACAGTGAATTGGTCATATGAAGCAGATTCTTCGTTGAGATCGTTAGGCTACATTGATTGATATGACTAGGACACGTGTTACGCACACCAAGCCACCACCTTACTCTTTGAGCAGTCTTAGCTAACAAGGGATTAGGTTAGATAGGAGTTAAGGGTAGTCACATCAAACGGGGCAGCAACCCATGAATGCATAGAATTATATACTACTGATTAGTTGATTTGAGTAGTTGTATACCACTGTGAGTTGAGTCAAACCGGGTATGCCGATGACGAGCTCGGTTTTAAACGAGCGAAGTGGCTGTCCCGTGTTTAGATCACTTCGATGTGGTTAGTTAGCAGGTAATAAAACTGATAGTATATAGTTTTACGCATACATGCTCGCTTTCTTGATCATGATTTATGGTGTCAAGCAAATCACATTTTGTGATCCGAATAATTTCGATTTCCCAATGAAACTATGATAAAAATCTCACCTCGAACTGTATATATTGCAATTTAACTTGCAAATTACAAATTTGATCAATCTGTGAAGTTCCTAGCAGTTGGTTTGAGTTGGCCACCTAAGGAGGTGTCAACTACCCCTTGTTCAGGGCTTTGAGACGCTAAGGAACATTGGCTGGAAACTGTTGGTTATGATATGGATCAAAATCAATGTCGATGGCTCAGTTGTATTCACTCTTTGGAATCTCCTATATCCATGAAGTCCTCATGTTTCTCCATGTTACTATATCCATGCTGAAAATTCCATACTTGTACTGAAAATACGGTGTGGAATCAAGCTGTAAATCAAAATAAATAAATAAATAAATGCTTCCTCCTGCGTATATTTCTTCCCATTTCTAATTTTTTTTCTTTTCCTCTACTTTCGTCTGCAATATGGACTATGGTAACTTGAATTGCTGCAATTTTTTTTGCTAAGTTCTATGTTGAAACAAAGTCAGACAGCCAGTCATGAGAGACAGTTTATACTAGTCAGTTACATTGATAGTTTATTTTTCTTGTGTTAGAATCAATCCAGTGACAGAATAATAAACGTGTTCAAAAATTTAAAACGTTTAATCCCTTTAGGAGAAATTCCTTTGGCTAGCGTATATACATATTTGGCTAGCGTATACATATAAAAGTCTAAAAACATTAAAGGCCGGATGAAAGTAAATGGGGACCTTTAGGATAAGAAGGATGATAGGTGACGCAACTCTTGCCATTATTATTATTAGATGGTTGGAGGTAGTCGGCAGGAAGCCTTGGACCTAGGTTTCGGGCTAGTTGGCACTCGTCAGCAAGGCGTATCTGCAACCTTGAAGGAACTCATTTCCTTTCTAATATCAGTATCTATTACCTTCTAATATCAACAATTCAAAGTGCACCATGGTGGTGAGCCACCTAGAATGGTGGCCGCATTGCAAACGTGGCTGATAGAATTCATTCTGCACCAAATAGAGGACTAGACGCGTTACTCTAGTTACTAACTAATGTCCAATCAAAAGTATTATTATTATTAGATAAAGATTACAAAGGTATATTTTTGTAAATACACAAAAGAAGTGGGGTTGCCTGTCTGTTTTTGTACGTGATCGTGAAAGCTGTTTGCGCACCAATCTTATGATTCGTATCTTTAATATACTTTGCTACAGACAAAGCTAGTAGCCTAGTGCATGTGTTTATCGATGTTATGGGGTGGAATTGTTTTTCAAGCCATTTAGGTGTATATTGTTCACGTGAGAGGGAGGGTGGGTGAACATATGTCGGATTTGATCTTTGATTCTTTTAAATCATTTTCATGTAAATTGAATTGACAAGTAGATGTGTATGTGCGTGTGGTCAGATTGTTTAAAATGTATATTGCACAAATACATATCACATTTTTTTGCAATATTAAACCCACCTTTTTTAATAACGTTTTTCAAATAACTTATTCTCTTTTAAGAGACCTGATAACCCTGGACTGGTATTGTGTGAATTATGAAGGAATATCAAAATCAGATTAAAATTGTCTAGTGGTTACTTCGTTTACAATGAGAATTAACTTAGAATTACTGACTAACTGAATAATACAGAGTTTCATTAGAACTATTTTGGTATTATTTGACTGAATGAGTTTTAACATAGAAATTTGCACGGAACTGTAGCAGTTTCAGCCGCCATACAAAATGCTGTGGCATACTGAGGTAGGAAAAAGAAAGCAAAATCAGATTCAGACAAACTATATTGCTCAAAAAGGTACGGTAGAAATAATAGTAACATGGAAAAACTTCAAGACTTTATGGATCTATGAGATTATAAAGAGTAGATGAATCTGCGCCACTGAGAGAACGATTTTGTTCCATATCACCAATAGTCTCCAACCATTGGTTGTTAACATCCCGAGGACTCCAACCAAGCAGTATACACCTCCCTGGCTCAAACCTTTATGGATCTATGTCAAGTTTTAGTTTTGCCATCCTTAACTCTTTCCTAACCTAACCCTATCACGGTGTACATTGTTTGTCGAGGAATAAGGTGGTACGGCCTGCACAACACATGTCCTACTCATATCAGTCGATTCGTTTTCACAACCTTGCGTCTAAGTAAAACTCACGGGATGTAATATAAAAACAGTAAATTCTGTTTATAAAGCACAACTATCTCAGTGTAAGTGAATGAAAAAAGTATCTGATCTCCTTCCATTATGGGTAAAATTTGTTTTAATACAGTCTCACAGTGTTATACGGTAATGTTTGCTGATGACCACGTTTCGAGCACAATTTATTGCTCATAATCATATCAAAGTACTGACACAACGTTCTAACTTCGTTTATATAATTCCATTATTTTTCATCACTTGATTTGATTGGTAGTAGGATTCTGAATAAAGCAGGAATTAGAGTGGCATTTAAACCTACAAACTCACTCAGGTAGAACAAGCTCTGGAGGTTAAAGGACACTGTCGGTTGACCCAATTATACAAAATAATATAATTTACAAAATACCCTGCAATGACTGTGAGGTCGACTACATAGGTCAAACTAGTAGGTCAGGAGTAGTGAGATTATCAGAACATAAGAATTTAGCTAAGGCAAGAGTAGTTGACCCCGAGAAGATAAGTAATTTAGAAAAAAGCTCAGCAATCGCACTGCATGCATTAACACAAAACCACACAATAGGGTGGGAGAGAGTTAAAATTCTAAAAAGTAATCTAGGTAGGTGGGGAGAGGTTGATTACTGAATCCTGGTTCATCCAGTCTACACCCAACACGTGCAATAGGAATGACTCATCACTCATACCGGAAATATGGAGAATACTACTACCAATCAAATCAAGTGATGGAAAATAATGGAATTATATAAACGAAGTTAGGAAGTTGTGTGAGTACTTTGATATGATTATGAGCAATAAATTGTGCTCGAAACGTCTTCAGTAAACACTACTGTATAACACTGTGAGACTGTATTAAAACAAATTTTACCCATAATGGAATTATACTCTACCACAGTGCACAAGTTTCATTCTTATATCTGATCTCCTTTTACGTAAGAATTCTGAAAAAGGCAAAATATAAAGATTCCTCCTAACCTTCATACTTATGACATTTAAATTTAGGTTCATCGAGCTTTACATGGCTTTGTGTTAGATGGTTCTACAAATTCGCCTGTCGGTGGAGCTTCTATACATGTGGAAGAATTCAATCATCTAGTCAACTCTACACCATATTTCGGAGATTACTGGCGTTTACTACCGCCTACAGGTATATATCATGTATGGGCGTCTAAAATTGGGTAAGTTAGTTTTAAGGTGTGTCGAGTTTCAAAACTGTTGTCTGCATATTTTCTGTGATGGTTGAGAGGGGTGATCGGTTACCCACATTGAATTAAGTATAGTGAGGTTGTGTATACTATTGGAAAACAGTATGTTGATTGATAAGATCTCTAAGGAACTGCTTTATTTAAATTGATTAGGATGAGGAGCTTATGAAGTTGCTCCCTAGGGTTCACTTATTGTGATAAATGTGTGTGTGAAAAAGAACTATATCACGTTGATACTGACAGGACAACCATACAAGTGAAATGAATGATGCTATCAGGAAGCTGCCTTTTATAGCTTTAAAGCGCATGATCAAGTGCGACAAATGCCTGAGGTGTATTGTCACATTTCAGCCTATATTGTTCCAAGGATTTTATCAAATGTTCTGTCGCACATATCTGTCAACAGTGATATTCTCAGGAGAGACTGTGATTGCACTTGTGAAGCAGCATAAACTGCGCGCATCTTAATATTCTATTTTTTTCGTGGAAATTTCGGCGTTTTAGTCGTCGATGCTGCTCGTTGGGGATGGATTAGGGGTTGGGGTAAGCACTTTTGGTTTTTGGTCAGTGATTAACAGGTTCAGAAATACCATCTAATGGGTGGAGGGGAGGTTGATCACTGAATATTTGGTCATCAAGTCTACACCTAACATGTGCGGTAGGAATAATGACACAATACCGATACCAAAGATATAAAGATACCACTGCTAATAAAATCAAACAATATAAGAAATAATGGGATTATGTAAACATGGTTTGATATGATTATGTGCAGCAATACATTGTGCTCCTAGCGTCATCTGTAAATCATATTGTATCACTGTTATATGTAGTAAGGTTATTCTGTTATGGAGTCAAAACCAGTTACACCTTTCTCCAATTAGGTAATTCAATCATAAAAGAATCAGGGGTGGTCAGTACAATATATGGCTAAAATCTATGATGCCTGATTGTTGGATTCAGCCGCATGGGGGGCGCCGTAAACTGTCCGCTTGTTGTCATTAGGATGTTGGTAACCAGTGGTTTGAGAGTTTTCGTATTTTGACTTAAAGTCTTTGGTAATGCCACGGGTGTATTCACTCCTTGTATTCTTGATTTCAGAATTCCTCATTATTCGTTATCTAAGTTGGATACTGAGATTTGGGAAAAATGAAATGTTACTCGACAGCTACATGTAATTCCACACAGGTGGCGATGCGCCACATGTATTGTGTAAGAACTAGTGATGCTGACTGGTTGCTCGAACCTCGGCGGATGCAGCGAAGTTCGGACGTGCGAATCACTGGTTGGGGAGGCCAGTGAGCCACATCTCCATGACGTTTAAGAAAATAGGCGGTGTATTTTGCCTTCACATACTTGGTGTTGTTCACTGACAGGTTTATCATTTTGGCAGTTAAATGGCGACTTTTTAAACAACTGACTCCAAAGCTAGATGTGTAGCACAGAATTCCAACCAGTCGTGCTCCGTGGCTGTGAAAAATATTTATTAAGGACTGAAAGATGGGAGAGATTTGCAGGTGTTTAAATATAAATATCTATAAAATACTTCTCATCTGTTCGGTTACTACCTACTGGGCATCATGTTTGTTCGTGTGTATCGTGCGTATGACTGTAAGTAGACTGGTTTCGGTTAGTCGTTGAGATGACTGAGATGCATCGACATATCTGTGAACGTGTAACGTACTAAACATTTTAGAACAACTATCCTCTGATCCCGAAACCAATGTCATTCGTTGTATAATTGACCGGTTGACTACCTGTCAGTATAGAACTTTGAACAGAAGTCCAGTAGTTCAAGTTGCCACACTTCATGTACCACACAAAAGAAGATAAAAGAGATCCAAAGAAACTATAATAAGCAGAAGTTTGCGGGTGAAAGAATAGCAACATGAAGAAAACAAGACTGTTTAGTAGACATCAGAAATCAGAAAAAATGAATGCATCTGCTCCACTGAGAACTATTTAGATCCAAATCACCAACAGTCTCCAACCATTGATTCGTTGAGTTTCTAGGACTCCAGCGAAACAGTCTTGGTGGATTGATATCAGGTTATGGTTTGACTACTCCTAGCTCTTCTCCAGCCTTATCATATGCCAGCTAACATTGTTCATCAAGGAAGGCGATGGTTTGGCGTGCTCAACATGTGTCCTAGTCATTTCATTCAATGTAGCTTCACAACCTTATCGATTGACTTACCCTTCTTACCTAACACTCCACGCTCAACCTCTATATTGCTTACCATATTATACCACAATACGGAAAATAAAACGGTAACATCTATATTCAAAGGTCTCTAACCTTTTTATATCTTCGGCTTTCAATGGCCATGTCTCACAGCCATAAAAGAGGAAATAGCGAACTTTTGAGCAGTATACACGTCCCTACGCCATATATGATGTAGGCTGGCAAATGCCAAACAAGCCTTTTGTATCCCTACTGAAATTTTGTCAGTAGTATCAATTCATTAAGGTTAATACAACTACTCAGATAAATGAAGTGGTCAACACTCTCTCTACCGCTTCCATCCCTAAGAGTCTATGTATTCCAGTCCATATCTCATTGGACAGGGTCGATTCGTATGTCAAACATCCGGAAATTTCTCCTGAAAGTGTTCAGAAATGTTGGTATGTTTACCATAAGATTCGTTACTGCGCATATTAAATAATGATGGAGAATGGATGGATTCAGAAATGATGGTGGTTTTTTGGCTTCCGTCGTTTTCAGTGCACACAGAGTGAAGAGAAAGTGAAGAGCCATTAAGTAGAGGAGTTGCATAAGTAGACGGAAGGCAAGATAATAGAGATGAAGATGAAGACAAAGATGAGTGAGGATTAGAGAGGTTTCGCGTGCACTTCGGATTGTGAGGGCGATTGTTACTTCCCAGCTGCCCACACCGTGGAAGTTGATTGCGTGACCGCAGAGCCCAGGGGACAACTGCTTGAGCCCGGTCAAACACGGCCTGTTTGTTCAGAAATGACGTCAGTATCTATCATATAAATTGAGTAATTTGGTCTGCACTGTGTTAGGAAATGCTTTTATCCTCTACTCCACACTACTACTACTACTACTACCACTGTGGTGGTGTGATACAGACAATGTGTCCAACGGAATATCATTTCACATATTCCCACCGTTCAATACTGCATTAGCAACAGATACTATATATGTATTTGAACATTCTTTTTCATATCGTTTAATGTCAACAAAAATCACACGCTCAGTGGTTGGTTAAGGAATATAAACTGCATAGATATAAATAGCGGTTTGATTAATTGAAAATATACCTTGACTTTTGTGTCTTGCCTTCTGCTATTACACTACTACTACTTCTAATGCTAATACTGTGGTGCTCCTATTTTCTTCTCTTTTTTGTTACATTATTTATCTTTTATGTTTAGAGTAATTAATATCGTTTTATACTGGCTTTGTGTTCCCATGATTTTACAAAAAAAAATCAATTCCATCTACTATACACAATACTTTTTGTTTATTTTCTGAAACCTGCTAATATGGTGTCTTTTTTCTGCCAGTAATGCTGATAAGATATCTGTCAATATACCTAATGATTATAAATAGGCTTTTATTTTAGTAAAATAATTAAAAAAAGAACGAGCCAACTTGTTACTTTCATGAGAAATATGATCGGCTTACAAACAGAGCTGTCAATTTTCATATTGATTAGTAAAAGTGGCAGTGAGCATTGTGGGGGGGGGGGCGCCAGGAGGGTGACTCATTAATCTCAGTAGGCACATCACACCTTGTTAGAATTTGGGCACATCTAGGTAACGAAACACATAACCTCGATTCAACTGCCAATCATTATCTGTTGGTGACAATAAAGGCATCTTCAAAACGTGTTTGTCTTAGAAGCTGATTTAATATCAACAAAGACAAATATTTCGGCCAAGTAAGAAACAAACTGTAGGAAATTCATTCATAATTTTCGAAAGTATTAAAATGAGTGATTGAAGATGCTCATTGAAATTTTCAAATGGTCGAAATTAATGAGTGACTAGTGAATATTCTCGATAACTTCATTGGAGTTCTACAGTTAAAAAATAATAATAAAAAATAATTAAAGAATTATTTTTATTAGCACAACATTAATGTTTCCTGTTAAATAACATGGAATCAATAACATTAGTGGATTACAGTTCGAAGGCAGGCATCTGTAAGTGTTTACCATCATTATTTCCTTGGGTTCTGAGTAGACCATCGGGTTGCAACAACACAACTCCATTTCATCCTATTCTGTGCAGTATTTTCTAGCCGGTTGGCTATAAGACCTGTTTCGGAAAGGTGGTCTCATGCCGAATTGTCGATGGTTTTGACTACGGCCTTATTTGTGCGTCGGTGGTATAGCGGTTAGGACGCTCGCCGACCATGCACATGGTCCGGGGCTCGATCCCCGGCCGACGCACTCCTTTACCTCGTTAAGCCAGAAATAATACTGGTGAAGAGGAAAGGTTGGGCATGAGGCTAGTAACCCCATCCTGTAAAATAAACACTACTACAGAAACTTCAAGCCATTAGCTTGAAGCCCTATGTTCCACTGGGGAACGTGAAGGAAAAAAAAGACCTTATTTGCCTACATTGATAGGTGTTCTCAAGCACGAAACACTAAGTCCCTAGATCAACAGTCAATATAACTGGCTCCACAGAATCAATTGAATTAAATAGATACAGGGAACAGGTGGCTAGTCGAGGTACTCTATTTTTCATTCGAGGAATCAGGACCTGTCGTGTGGAAACTAGGTGTTCACGGGTATTAAAAGTACTTTGAATTGGTTTTTTTAACTGATTGGCTATTGGTTCATTTCACACATCACTTTTGAATTAAAGTCACATACATATAGGCTCGATGATTCTAGATGTAGACTAGTTGTTTTTGACTTTCTTGACCCTACTAATGATAGAAATTGAACATGTTTGCTTGTTTTTTTGTTACTTTTTTTCCACTTATAGATATTTCGATTCTGTTAAATATGCAGTGAATGCATCTCTTCTCCCATATATACCATACACAAGTAGTGAACAGTTGAATTTTACTTTATGGCCTGAAGATCAATCAACTTTACAATGGTCCAACCGATTAGATTATGATATTCCTATGAATCGTTTGCCTAAATTTATAAAAGAATCAACTTACGAAGAAGCGATTAAAAATTTGTTTAAAACTTCATCTCATTTAATTCAAAAATATTTCAGACTTTATGAAATTAAGTTATTTAATAGTTTGGAGAGTTATAATAATAATATTATTATAAAAATGTCGACAGTATACGGTGTCAGTTTGTCAGTTCCTGATTATCGATATTTGAAGACTCTACATTCTAATTATGATTCTGATAATCACGATCACAATGATGCTGCCCTTTTACAACCTCATTTTGATAAAATACGAATTGTTATCTTAGCTGGATTAAATAGTAATGAGTTGATTTCAACTGAAATGACAATGCGTTTATTGCGTCATTTATATACAGGTAAGCCAATTTATTATTGTTTTCTCTCTCGTCATTTATTTAATACTTTTATTTACTGAGTTTTTTGTCATTCCTTCGCATTCCAAGTGGAACATAACGAGGGCGTAAAGCATTAAGCTTTTTGAATTTCAATAGAAGTGCTGTTATTTTACGTGATGGGTTTGTTGGCCTCACCCCCTCCAAACCTTTCTTCTTTTCTGGGCTTACTACCGGCTAGGTAAAGTTTGTAAGAGTTCATCGGCAGGGCATTGGACCTAGGCTACTAGCGTGACTGGTGAGCATTCTACTACTGTTTATTATTACCATTATTCTTCCCCTAGTTTCTGAGTGGAACATAGAGTTTCAACATCACTTCTCTATTTCATCTTGTCTCATTTGTTTTTAACTGGTTTCGTGATCGACCATAAACTCTCATTTCCTCTTCATACGATCTCCTACATTTGACCGTCTGACGCCCAACTCGTCGTTTCCCACTTGGGTACCACTCGAAGACCTGCACTGCGTTTGGCGTCAGTCAACGGTCACGTCAGCGTGTGTCGGATCCATCTTCATTTTTTTTGGGATATTTGTTGGCCAATAGGTTCTTGGTTGGTTCGCTACATGCCACAGTCCCTTGTTGTTTGCTAATCATGCCTGGCTGGCCATCTGATCTTCAGTATGGAGTGAAGATAGCTTGTTTACTGATGTTCAGCAATTTATCTTTGAAGTATGTATACGTACATGTGTGTTTTTAAAGACTTATCAAATATACGCGACTTGTAGACTGTTTTATTAATCTGTTTGTCTGTATTTCATAGTGAATAGTGAAGTTAATGGAAGTATACAAAAGAGAAAAGTGGCTAAGTTATCGCGTCAATTACAACTTATATTTACATTGCCTGTTGATTGGCACTCATTGGACTGAAATGTTTAGTTTGTGTAGTCATGTTGGTGCCTAGTAGGCACTCTTCGACGATGCTTTAAGGTTAATATAATGTTGTTATGGTTAATGGTGACTAACAATGGAATGCAGGATATGCATTTTGTCCTATTTGGAACTTATCAGCTACGTGTACCTGGATCCTCAGCAAATGACAGTGTTTTCACCGAGACTCGAACTCAGCCCTGTTGTCTCAAACGCCAAAGTATCCCCCACTAGGCCACTGGACCAAGAGTCTTAGTGTGAACACGATCACTAACTGGGGATGTAGTTACATTCAGTCAGCGTGTCTCAAATAGGACGACAGATGTTTTGTGGATCTTACTGTTAGTGACGGCAATCCCCGAATAACGCGAATTTCAATTTCTTAGATAGAAGAGAGCGTTATGCCAGTGTTACAGACAGTGTATCTTTTAAATCAAGCAGTAAAATATGCTTTAGACTTTTATATAACTGGGAGTTATATAGCTAACAGACAAAATGTGATTAACGGAGTGAGATCAGGTTTTGTCAGCTGCTCACAGACTCAACAGTTTAATGAATAAGTAAGTTTTAATTTATTTCATATAGTATTTTGCGTAATTCATTTTTCGAAGAATACGAAAGCAACAGTGTGATGTACTATTGATTGATTGATATGAGTTTTTGAACATCACTCTTGTCAACCGTTAGTGCTTGCTAGCCAGATCGAAATGATCTAAGCACCCTGGAGGGCTATTTCCCACGTTTGGGACCAGGGTCATCAGTGGTGTACCTGGCTGACTTGAGGGGTATCCAATTACTCATATCAGTCGACCACTAGTAATAGCATCATCCACTTATGCTTTCTTCCTTGATTACTACTTATTGTATGAAACAAATCCCATTGTGATCTGATCCGAAGGAAACCGTAGAGAAATTTCATCTCAAACTGTGTAACATGCAAATTTCGAATTTCATTTGAAATAACTTAGTGTCATTCTATACAGCATTAGGTAAGTTAGAATAATAAAATTGCAAGCAAGAAAGGGATATTCTGGTCTGACAAGGCAAGAAGTATTCCCGAACTTTCTGAAGACAAAGTCATATATAAGTTTAAAATTGTTTCCGTAATTATAGCAGTCGATTGCTGTTCTTTCCTTGCGTTTCGAGTGGAGTATAGGACTCCACTCCAGGCTTTAAAGGTTCAGTAGCGTAGGTGTTGTTGTTTCTACAGGGTGGGTTCTGTAAATTCACGTCCACCTTCTTCTCTTTTTTACAGGCTGAGTTAATTGTTTTATACTCTAGGTGGGATTTAGGAATGAGTCAGTGACCGGGAATCAAACTCGCACCTCCTGCATGGTTGGTGAACGTTCAACCATTGAACCATCGAGGCATGACAGTCAATAGGGCTATCTAAGGTACATACGCCTATAGAATAAAACAGCTACTGGATAATGTAGTATTTGATATGAGTGATGGTAGACAGAGATATAGATAAAAATCGAGTTTTATATTTTTATTCCAAAAAGAAAACGGAAGAAAATTATCGGTTTTCAATGAGATAAAATAAGTGTCAGCCTTTACTTCAATTTTCATTCATTCTTCAACAGATAAGAAAGAATAATTGTAAGTACAAGTTATGAAAGTTATTTCCTATTGTCTATTTACGATTATTGTAAATGTGTAATAGAGAGTTTGAGATATCTCTAAGCAAATCGGGAGCATATAAAAAATTCCTATAGAGAAAGTAGAAACGTGTAGGCGGACAGTGTTTTTCTCCACTGCTATTCTAGCCTATCTTGACTATACAAATCTTCACATGTATATATATATATATATATATATATATATATATACATCAGTGATTCGATTAGAAAAGATGTAAATTGTTGTTGTTGTTGTGTGGTTAATTTTAGATGTTTAAAAGTTAGCAATAATTATAGACTCAAATATTCAAAAGTGGATAATATAAATCAAAGTTCTTGCCTTTTCCTAAACACAAAGGTAGAGACATAGTTTATAATACTACGGCTAATCTGCCTGATTGCATTTGCTAGTCTCTTTCTCTCTCTCTCTCCCTTTCCCTTTCCATGGTAGCGGCTGAGTACATTTGTGATTATTGAAATTACAATAAAATATAGAAAAGAGAAGAATATTATTTTCCCTTAGGTTTCCGTCAGTCTTAACTCTAATATACATATGCCCAAATATATATATATATATAATCTTAATCAATATTAGTGGTTTATCTTGTGCATAAAATATAATAACGACAACTATGATAACATAAGTAAGAGTGGTTGACTCAAGTCTGCATAAAAACAGTCAAACCATTATGACAATGAAAACAATTCAGTAATAAAGTTACGAATACAGAATATATATATATATATTGATGTATAATTCCTTTACTTTCCCAGTGTAACATGGGGCTTCAAGCTAGAGCTTTGAAGTTTCTGTAGCCAGTGGTGATTACTTTTTACAGGATGGGGTTGCTAACCTCATGCCCAACCTTCTCTCTTTACCAGTCTTGTTACTGGCTCAGCGAGGTGAAGGAGTGTGTTGGCCGTGGATCGAACCCCGGACCACATGGGGTGTGGTCGGCGAGCACTCTCCCACTGTGCCACCGACTCACTAATACAGAAGATGGATAATGTAAATCGGTTTTTAAATCCCATATAAATATAAATAATACATCAAAAGAACAATGAAGAAGGAAAGTGTGGGTTTTAACATTGTATTTGTTCAATAAATTAACAACTTTGCCTAGTTTACTAGCCTGACTGGAACCTGGAAAAAAAGAGGGAGGGTTGAGTATGGGTCTAGTGACCTTACCTAGGAAAATCAATCCAGTTGCTATAGTAACTCCACAGCATAGAAAATATGGAAAGTAAAGTTATTCCTGTCTGCAATCAGAGAGACGCGGGTGGGTTAGTTGGGTTCGAGAAGCCAGTCAGCTGATGTATTTTCTGTCGATCACCATCAATGGTATAAACTTGAAGGAAGTTACTTCTTTCACTTATTTAGCTAGCGTCATTTCAACTGCAGACAGCACAGATGAGAATGTCAAAACTAGTTAGGATCGAGAAAGCTAGACAGACCTTCTTTATTAATGTGAAATCAATGTGAGGATTTTGCTGTACTCAGTATAAAGAACAAGATTCGGATACAGTATGTGTCCAGTCCATCTCAGTTTCCTTTGGGATGTTTGCTACTCGATAGGTTCTCGGTTCATTTGTACTCAGAGTTCTTTGTTCTGACAAGCCACCTGATCTTCAGTATGGAGTGAAGACAGTTGTCGATGAAAGTCTGAAACCTATTCGAGATGCTTTTGCTGACACATAAAGTTTCTGAACGATGTACAAGAAATGACTTGACATTAGCTCTCAAAATTCGAATTTTGTGCTTTGTGGTGTGTAGTAGGTTTCCAGTCTGATTTCAGATTTATGAACGTTTGTCTCGCCTTTCCGATCCTGGCTGGCTTTGATACTTTTATCTGTGCCGCCTGTAGTTGAAATGATGCTGCCCAGATAAGGGACCCTGTTCAAATTTCTTCTTCTGATAGTGATTGGTGCTTGCTGTTGTTGTTGTTGGTTGGTGGGTATCTGCATCACCTCTTTGTTCACTTGGAGTTCTGTCGTCGCTGCTTCTCCCGCAGACTTGTTGGTTCCTGGTTGTAGATCTAGTGGTATTAAACCTAAACTGTCCGTGTAGTCTAGATCTTCTAGAGTGTTTTTGTCAGTCTAACGAATTCCTGCCTTCTCGCCCCCCCTTATGGTCTGTTGCATGGTCTAGTCTGCCACAATCAGGACTATCATCAGTGGCAGTAGACAACCTCGTCTTACTTCTGTCTTCAATCGCATCTCTGAGCTATTGATTGTGAATTGCTTGGTATATGGCGTCATCATATAACTGTTAAATGAGGTTAGTAAAGTTTTAGGCCTTTGAGTATTGTTGAATCTCATACAGCCGGTTCCCTTCATTAGTTTGAATATAGAAAGAACGGACATATTTGCAGGAGATTACGAGCTCGTTTTATTTAGTGGATTCTTTTCAACTGCATACATCCTAAATAAATCAATTATAAGTTACAAAATTTGTGAACATCCTGAAGTGATTTCAAGTTATATATGGAGAGTATAAGCAACGTAATTTCAAAGATGATGTAAGTAGACAATTATTTAGTGTTAAAAGAGTAACTATTTGTATATTAATTAGACGAAGGAGCGGAATTCAGATTTTTATTGGAAACAAGGATCGACTAGAGATAAAATACTAGATAAGACAACGGAGTTAATATATGCTTATTTATGGTGGAGAGTTCAGGAGGGTAGAGGTAAATAATGAAGTGAAATTATAAAATAGATAAAATAATTTCATTTAGTAGATTTGGAAGCTTAATAGTGAGTTCAACTCAGTGAGTGGAAATCAAAATGAAGGTTGAATGAAATGCTATGCAACAGAACGAAACACAAAAGCACACGAACAAAACAATTATAGTTACCAGGGTAGTGAGAGATTAGTCTCACTATCTTTCTGCATGCATAGGTTGGGTGGAAGTCTTCTGATGGCAATGGCTTCTGCGAACCGAAGTAACTATGCTTTTCTTTGTATATTGATTATTTTGAAAGCCTGACTAATTTCCAGCGTATTTCCTGTCTCCATTAGGTGTCTCGTGATTGCGCTCGAGAACACTTTACTGCCTTTCAAACGGAGACTTTTAGGGATATATTTGGAGAATCCAGTAGACACTCTTTTCTCAGTCCTTTTTATGTACTTGCTGCCGTAAGTGCAGGTGAATTGGTAAATGCAGTTGAAGTTGACATGCGGAGCAGGATACTTATCTACTTTTGACTGGGTTAACGAGCATACTGTTTTGTAAAGTGGAATGAGTCTAGCAGCGGGAAATATTCTTTTCAATGCACCTTTAATTCTGTTTTCCGTTCTTATGGATACTTCTTTTACTTTATATGTTAGATAGATAAAAACCGTAATTGTAGAACTTGGCCACTGTGGTAGAATCTAATTCCATATTGGATAAGTTTATTTTAATAATCACACAGTGATGCAGTATTAACAACTGGATAACGTTTCGAGTATAAATTATTGCTCGTAATCATATCAGTTTAGTCACATGGTTTCTCAATTTGTCTTAAATGCACTAGCAATAAAGATTAGCAGTAAAAATGACGAAAATAATATATAATTCAAAGCCTCTGCAGTATTGCCGTTTAAAGAAGGAATATCAGAGGCTCTACTCAGGATTCGCAATGAGGTTAGAAAAAAAAATTTGTCAGCTTAATGACTTCATAGATCCAATTAAGAAATATAATATGGTTTAACAAATACCATGTAATGACTGTGAGTGAGGTCAATTACATAGGTCAAACAAGTAGATCGGGATCAACTAGATTATTGGAATATGAAAATTTAGCTGGACCTAGAATAATTGACCCCGCCAAGTTAAATAACTTAGAAAAAAGCTCAGCCATTGCACTGCATTCACTTGCATGTAATCACACAGCGATTGGGTGAGACAAGATGTGAGAGTATTAAAAAGTAATGTAGTTAGGTAGAGTGAGAGAGAGAGGTTAATCACTGAAGCTTTGTTTATCGATTCAACACCTCACACGTGTAATCGGAATGACGCAACGCCTATACCGGAGATATGGAAAGTGGCAACAAATAACACGGAGAAGTTGGAGAGAGAGAAAGAAAATAAATATAGGACAAATTGTGAAACGGTGTGACTAAAATTGATGTAATTATGAGCAATAATTTAGGCTCGAAACGTCATCCAGTTTTCAATACTGCATTGTTGTGTAATATTTAAAATAAACTTATCTAATATGAAATAAAAACTAGTTTTTTTTCAACTACTTCGGGTTTCGGTCAGCGTGGCTTCCATGTTACTTCACTGTCAACGTCTGTTGAAGACGGGCTAGGTCATATCTTAGAAAGGTTCTCCTCTCCAAAGCTTTCATGCACTTACTAGTTGATGTGTGAATATTTTTGATGAAATCTACTGCTAAATTAGTCCAATACTTTGTTTCTTTTTATTTGTGCTGCTCATTGGTTTAAGCATTCGACTTACAACCAATGGGTCCAAAGTTCGAGTCCTTTCCCACCTAAATGAGCGTGCGGCAACTGCATAGTATCATTGGTCTTTACACATAATGTGTATGACTCAGTCTGCTACATGGGAAAGTCTGTTCCGGGTAACTGATTACTGATTCATATTGTAAAATGCTACCGGTAGATTGGTTGTGTGTTGAAGAAGATATAGCTTATAACTTCTATGTTGGATAACCTTCCAGTGTTACTTTGAATGTTTTTCTGTTACTATTGATTTTTATTTCCCGCTGATTGATTATGTTGGACAGAAATACTCGATTTCTGTTGACATATCGACTCCAAGTACGAACGCTCCGATGATGTCTTAAGATTAGTGTGAAGTTGGCTTGGTTGACCTGATAGATAGTGCTTTGGAGTTTGAAACGATAGGTTCACGGTTCAAGCCTCGATGGGAACACCATCACTCACTTAGTAGAAAGCAAGTACATCCGGCTGACGAATCCAAAACGCGATGAAATGTATATCCTGGATTCTGTAACGACCAAAACTGATTCGTTGTGGTCTGAAGGCAGAAAACCGATTTCTGCTTTCTACTGTTTATCTGACAAAAATTCCCTGAGACACTCACAGTAACAGAAAACTGGAAAGACAGGAAAATGATGGTTATTTGTCGTAAGATCTATATATGGTTTTATTCAATAACAATGATAATAACATCAAGAACTCGACATGGCCTCAACAGTGCCATTATACCGCGCTGTATAGGCTAGATAATTATTTCCTAGTACAAAACAAGTGCTTCAGAACAAAACCAGTTCACCGAAATTCAACCGTAAGAGGTACCTTAGAATCAAGTACAGCATTCCCAGCAAGGTGGAATCAAAAGCTTTGCTCACAAGAATCACATCAATAACTCTCGAAGATAGTCCAATTGTAACGACAGAAGGCAAGAGTCAGGCAACAGATCATTTATTAAGGAAATCAACGCATATTTATATATTTTCATGTACATTACTATGGATATGTAAACAAACAAACACAGTCTTACGATTGGTTGTTTCTCACGTAAAGTTAATCTTTCATCTCTTTGTGACTGTTTCTTGAATGTCAAATCATCTATATGTTAACTGCATCCGCCTACGCAAGGTCTGCTGTGGTCGGTTTTGAATCAATCTTTGTTCACATTTTCTCACGACAAATATTGGGAACGTAAATATTGACGTAAATTACTGTCTACCAATTTGGCTAGTAGACAGCTCTCACCACACAATGTCCGAATGACCTTGATTAACTCAAACAGAATCACATGGTAAAACAACACATTATCAATGTTACGCACAATCACAATGAAAAGCATTAAACTGAGAAATAATTAACACAGGGATCAAGTCAACTTATAATATGCAAATGTGAGAACAGTGATATACACAGACTAGGAGAAGAGAAGATAATAATTACGAATTTATTTGAAACATTCAAATAAGTATAAATATTTGTAATAAGATTGTTCAGGAGAGATTTCCTAAACAATTATCCTGTTACAGACTCTGCCACTAGTCTCTCCATTAACCAAAATAACTTTGTGTTTTAGTTAAATTTATTTCTTTTTTTCTATTCAATACGTATGCTTATGTATTCAACTCTTGATTGGACTCTTTTTTTGTCCTTTTAGCCTTAGATTCTTCAAGTTCAGAAATTTGGCGTCTATTAGCAACAAGCCAATTGTTAATATTTCCATATTTAGATCCTGTTGGTATTCATAAATCTTTATCTATTGCAAAAAAGAACAGTGTTGGTGATAGTCAAAGAACTTGTGGATCAACATCAGCTGATCATAATGTGAGTTGTTGAATTTGTTTATAATTGCATCTTTTCCTCCTTTTTTATTTTGTTTTTGAGTTTGTTACCAGTATATGTCATGTGGTGTTAAATATTTATTGTCAGGAACAAATGGACATATTAGTTTTTATGCCTTTTTTTTACAGCTGTGAGAATGTTTGTTGTATTGTGATATTGATGATGTCTCTGCTAGTGTGTTTATACTTGTAATGGTGATGTTGTTCATTCCAGTGAACTGAATTAATTAGATACAATGCTAAGTTTCTGCTTCAATGGTAGTGTAACAACAGAAGACAAGGGCCAGGCAACAGATCGTTTATTAAGGAAAATCAACCCTTTTTTATAGATTTTAATGTACATTATTGTAGATTATTGTTAAAAGAAAATACAGTCTTTTGATTGGTTGTTTCTCACAGAAAGTTAAGCTTGCATCTCTTTGTGGCTGTGTCAGATCATCCATATGCTAACTGTATCCGCCTACGCAAAGCCTTTGTTTTCATTTTCTCACCGCCAATATTGGGGACATAAACATTGACGTCAATTACTGTCTACCAACTTTGGCTAGCAGCCAGCTCTCACCACAGTAGGAATGCTAGCCAGCCAGCTAGCCAGTCACACACGAGGTTCGATCGGATATGATTCCTGGCTTACACAAGCCTAAACTTTGCCTAGTTTACTAACCAGTAACAAGCCTGAAAAAGAGGTTAGGCATGTGAACAACACCATCGCTATTGAAATTTGAAAGCTCGAAGCCCTATGTTCCACTCGGTTTGTTATATTATAATGACTAAGAGGGAAGTTATAAATTAACTTTTCTGTCGTCATTATTAGAAATTTGGTTTTCCTAATGGATGGGAAAGAAAAGAAGATTGTTTTCCCTAATATTATCAATTACGTCTTCAGTAGAGAAATGTGTAGCACTTACCTGGTGCCAATATTCTTTCTCCAAACCATTAATTCATGAACTTTCTTGAGAAATTTACATGTTAGTTGAAATTGTTTTACTGTAAGTGAAGTCGTACATGTGTTCGATTGTGTAATAACCGTGTCATTAGAGCTTCATATATATCCTAAGTAACAGAGATTTGAAAGTCTATAAATTTCTACTTGCCTTACGGCTGTATGTCTGTTGGTGTTGACATAATATTCATGTAGGAGTTTTGATGGGAAGTTGTGACTCATTGGAGTATATCGATAGCACTCAATATTTTGTTCATTGGGTATTTTCGCTTACATAGAGTTGACAATGATACTGCGTGGCTGTGCAAAGCTAAGTGGGTGGAGTGGTCTTCTGACTCATAACTCAGTTTTCGGAAGTAGAGAGTGCTTACACCGATTAGTCCCACCATTTATCGATAAATATTCATAAACTCGTTTCGTAATTTCACTGATTACTGTTCTTCATCAAGCTGATGGTATACTACTCTTGAATAGTTCTTGAAATTGGATGAACCTTTTTTTCAGAGCTTATTCTTTAAAGGATGTTTGTTGGTTTGTTGAAACTCCATCCTAAAAAGTGCGTGCTAGACTGAAGAGTTTCGAAATAACAGGACGAACAAATTATTGGCTTAATGGTATACGAGCTCACCTTGTAACCAAAAGGTCCTGGGTTCGAATCCCGGTGGGTTCGTACTGCTGAAAAGTCCCAAACTAGGGCGAAACAGCCGTCCAGTACTCCCAGGTTTTCCAGTGGCTCTCTAACTAATGTCAGCTCATGATGCAACCCTGTAACCAATCAAATCCCTACAAACCAACACTTGGTCCGGGGTTCGATCCCCTGCCGGCGGACACCCGATATCTATGGTCGGCCTGCAAAATTGGGCTACCGATATCACATGCTGAAAATTCCATACTTGTACCAAAAATACGGTGTGGCATCAAGCTCTAATAAATAAATAAAAAAAGAACAAATTATTATTATTTATTAAAACACAAATTTGGTACATTATCAGTACCAGGAGATGCGCCACACAACAACCCGTAGTTTGTGCGAAGGATGAGGTTCTCCCTGAACGCCCGAACCGAAGCAGGTAGTTTTTTTCACAGGACAAGTCATCGAGCCTTTAACCTGAAGCCTGATCCACAAAGCAGTGGGGCAACCTCAGGAGGTATTTTCTCATGGTTTCCAGTGAAAGAAAAAGGCTCCTATACCATTCGATCCTTTTGGATTCTAAAGTCAGTGTACACCTGAAGTGTAGAATTAAGTTCTTCTAAGTCTACTAGGCAGACCTAGATGTTCACCAGTTCTGTTGTAAGCATTAGATGTCCACACTTCCCCTTTCGCTTTTATAAGGAACTTTCCACAAAGAGATAAAAAATCTGTGTAAATTATGTAAGTTTGATATTATGTTTTATAAAACATTTGTGATTGTATTATCTACCTGCTTCTCTGAATAACTCTCATATCGGTCTATGTTTCTACAGATTCATGATATGCTTTCTTCACTCACTGTTTATTTTTTAACTACTTTTTACTAGGTGTTAATGATATTCATCTTTTCTGGTATCAGATGTGTCTACGATACAGGGAGTGAATAAGCCTCTTCAGCGTGATGCACTTATGTCACTACTGTTATTGCATTAATCTCATTTTATATTGTAGGTCTATGCTATTGTGTGTTCGCGTATGCGCTTGTGATGATGCATGTTTGAGTTTGTAGTTTAATGTGCATGTTGAATGCTGTGTTTATGCTATGCTATATTCCAGTGATGTCAAATCAGTCGTCAGGTGTAAGATGATGACAGTTTACCTTTTTCTTCCCTTCTGATGATTAAATTTCAAAAATTTACCGCATGATTTACACTTTATCGTTTGTTCTTGTGACTAGGTTTAGATTAGTGTTTTACAGGTCATGGAGTTATGGGTTGCCTGAATGATCTTTGACTGACTGACTCACTGACCATGTTTTAGCATAGAAATTTGCACCGAAGTGCAGCAGTTGAAGATGCAACGCTCCGTGCAGCACACAAAATTATAGAAAAAAAAAGAGATTCGAAAGAACTATGATGAACAGAAATGTGCAGAATGAAGAATAGTAAAATGGAAGATAAGAGTTTAGTGAATCTGGGAACTGTTTTGAGCCATATCACAAACAGTCCCCACATATTGCTTACTAGCATCTCGGGGACTCTAACCAAAAACTCTACACTCCCCTATGTCGCTGAGACCAACAGTCAAAGTTTTCACAAACTGATTTAAGGTTCCGTTGTGACCAACCTGATCTGATATCGGCTAGGAAGGAGGTGGCTTGGTGTGCGCAGCGATCTTTGTCATGATAATGACTGCTTACTTATGATATTAAGGTAGCTATAATTTTGTCGTCTTGGCCTACATCTGTTTTCATGAGTTCTTTCTTGAAAGCGATTTTAAAAATAAGACGATAAGAATGATGCTTGTCGTCTAAATTGTAACACATTTCAAGCAAAATTTTTACCATTGAAAAAAAGAAAAAAGAATTGCTTGGCGCCGCAAACTACTGATTCATTTATATGAGTAACTTGGTACCACTCATATCAACCAGTTGTGAGGTTCTCAGATAAGTCAAACACTGGTACACTTTTGCTCAGCTCCTCTCCAAACAAGTCAGTTGATTGTCCGGTGTTCAGATGACGTCAACCTGACTAGCAGGCACTCCTGGTTGTAATGTAAGTGGCACGGAATTACTCATATCAGTCTATCAGTAGGAGTACGTAGTGTGATGCCTTTATGCTTGCTTTCTTGATTGCTATCTATTGTATAGTATTGAGCAGATTAAATATTGTGGCATATATAATTTTCGGTTTCTACAAGAAATCGTGGTGAAATTTCACCTTCTTGAACTATGTAAATTGCAAATTTTCAAGAGTTGATTTGTAAGGTGTAGATTTGTCTTTTCCAGTTTGACCACGGATTGATATCAGTTAGAGAACCACTGAAAACCAAGGAGTACTTCCAGATAGCCGTTTCATCCTACTTTGGGAATCATCAGCCGTGCACAACCACTGGGTTCCGTACCCAGGACCTTCCAGTTGCAAGGCAAGCTCATATACCATTCAGCCACTGAGATCTGATTCAATGACACATGAATTCTAACTTCTACAAATTCGCGATTTTAGCGGGACCACCAACGAATATCATCGGTGGAAAATCCATCCTCACTCCCGACTGCACTGACCTCACTTGTCACGAATTCTCACGAGAACTCCAGGAAACTCCGTCCTGTAGCAAGTCATTAGTGAGCATCAGATCAATTTTCGAGGGTCGCGCTAAACTCACGAATTTGTAGAAGTTTGAATTCATGTGTCATTGAATCAAATCTCAGTGGCTGGATGGTATATGAGCTTGCCTTGCAACTGGAAGGTCCTGGGTTCGAACCTTGGCAGTGGCTGCGTACTGTCGATGATTCCCAAACTAGAATGGAACAGCTGTCTGGCAGTACTCCTTGGTTTTCAATGGTTCTCTAACTGATATTGATTCGTGGTCAAACTCGAAAAATAAATTGCAAATTTCAAAACAGTGAATTTTGCATAGGAATTTGTCTGCCAATATGTTAGTTGTTTTGGTTATACAGCCCCTCGATTAGTGATACACTTTTACTCGATATCTGAAATTTTTATTCTTCTATGAGCAATATTTTTTCCCAAAAATTTCGATGTTGTTTATTGCGTTTGTTGTTTACTGAATTGTAGGTTTCCTTTAAGTGTTTATTGATTATTCCTGCAGAAAAGATAAACAGACACACTTGTATAGAAATAAAATGCATGAATCCAGTCATTTTTAGAATGTATTTTCAGCTGTCACTTGGGTTATCAACGTGTATTGAAACAAGAAACACGAATAATTTTGATTCGACGCACAATATTAGTTGAGATAGCATTAGACGTTGGAAAACAGTCAGCGGAGAAGAGGCAAACCAAAATCTGACATCAGTCCAAAAATATTTCTAATTCACGGAAAATACTCATCCAGACATGAACATAAGAACAAAAAGTTCAGCGAAGAGTTTCTTTTCTACGACTTTATTCACCTAGCTGTACAATCGCACTTACTTATGATTATTTTGTATGTGAGTGTGTACATTAGGAATGTCAATCAAAAATAAAAATTAGTCGGGTTTAAATTTTACGTCATTAAAATGTTTCAAAGAATGTGATGAATGCTCAGATTGTAACTTGGGGGGGGGTGAAGATTGGTAAGTATTGACAAGGGTTGTGTAACATTAAAGACACCCAGCAAAGTAGAATGGTAATGAAAGAGCATGGAGACATGCGTCCAAAATAAATTATGTAATAGATAGAAAGAGTACACAAAGGGTTGGTTAAGAAAAATATGTTGCTAAAAGGTCATGCAAAAACTCAAAAAAAGCCTTATTAACAAAGCAGTGGAACTTGGAATTATACCCAAGGTAGAAGGAGGGGGTGGAGAAGTTTCTTCTGTGTACATAAATCTGGGTTTTCTATCCGGATCGATAAGGCCTCGACAATGGAAAGTATGCGGAAGCTTGTCGTTTTTGGTAGGTTCTTTTTGACTTTGTAGATGACTTTGAATGAATTCCCCTAACATATTGGGAGACCAGTGCTGAATATATGTTCACAATTATAGCACTCCTTATTGATCCACTGTTACCTTTTCGTAGGCAAGCGGGATATAGTTCTTCAACTCTTTTAGATAAAACTCGCATCGGGCGACCCATTTATCTCGTTCCACTGGAGCAGCTGAATTGGTGGATACATATAGAAGTGATCAGATGCGATAGTTTGTCTTTAGAGTTGCTGAAGAACAAAGGGTGGCATGAGAATACCAATCGTGACGTAGCAGCGAAGAATGCACCTTTTAGGGCATTGGATATTCTTCTCTTTAGGATGTCAAGCAAAAGATCGCCTTTGAACGCCACATTCATGTACAGTATCTTCTTCGGCACAGAGATGGGTTGTTCTTTGCTGATCTCTGGCTTTATGTGTTTATCTACAGAGCGTGGTGGATAGCCACTCTCAAGTAGTGTCTTCCTAAAAAGAGTGATCTCTTCTACTGATTCGGAGCTGCAGATTCTACAGATTCTAGTCTCAAGAGACGTCATTAGGTTCCACTTGAAAATGATGGGTACCAAACTGTAAAAGTTTAACATATTACACAACCCTTGTCAATACTTACCAATCTTCACCACCCCCTAGTTACAATTTGAGCATTCATCACATTTTTTGAAATCTTTTAATGACGTAAACATTAACCCCAACTAATTTTTATTTTTGTTTGACATTCCTAATGTACACACCCACATACAAAATAATTATATGTAAATGCGACTGTACAGCTAGGTGAATGAATTCGTCGAAAAGAAACTCTTCGCTGAACTTTTTGTTCTTATATTCAAAAGGACTATGATTGTTGTTTTGAGCTAGCCAAATAAGGAAGAGTAGACTGCCTGGTTGGGGTCCTTGTTTTGCTTAGATCCAGCGACTTGAAATTGTTAGTGATATTGCTCAAAATCGTTCTCAGTGGCACAGATGCATTCACTTTTTGTGTTCTTCTATATCCATTAAAATCTCACTATTTTTCCTCGTGTACATTATTGCTCATTATATAATTTTTTAAATCTCGTTTTTCTCTGTTTGTGGGTGACACGGATTATGAGAACTCGAACTGGTGCATTTCTTTACAAAGTTCTATGTGGCAACACTGAGCCAGCTAGTGGAAATTGATGTTGTTTTGTATCTGAGGTTATTGTCTAGGAAGACAATACAAGCTTCACAGTCAAACCACAGTCGGCTCAGAGGAGAGAACCATATATATTTACCAGTGTATAACGAGATATTGTTATTTGGGTGTGTGTGTGTGTGTCTGTGAAAGTGTGTGCCTTGATTGACTTCAGCACTCAACTTTCCAAGGGTCAAGCTTCGCTCCACTTGCTCCGATCCCTACGACTGGATAGTATCATCAGCCTTCAAACTAATAAGGGATTCTGACAACCTGTTATACATACAGTCTGATGCAGGTAACTGTGCTTTAATTAACTCAAGCATTTTAACTTCACTTTAGTCATTTGGATTGTGTTATTTTAAGTTCCTTCTGGGGGTAGAATTATGTAGGGGAATCTTGGCAGAGTAGTCAGGTATGAATTAACTGTGGTATTTTACTTAGTTTGTGCTTTTGTTTGTGTGTGATTGGTCTCACTTTCTGTGTACCCCTCATTTGCGTGTTTTATTTCTGTTTTATCTAACTCCTCAGTGCGATCCTGATAATATCGTTCTTTTTTGCTTATCATTTTAGGATGGTGATATCTTTGACAATTCAAATTTCCAACGAATGATGCATCATTTTCAACCACACCTGGTTATCTTGTTAGAGTCGAACAATTCAAGTTATCCAATAGTAAATAAAGCTAATCGTACAATCCAACTACCGTTTACTGCAGTTCATATACCGAAAGATTTAAGCAAACGAATTTCCAGTGCTGAGTTATTTCATAACTTAGCTGTTGGCTTTGGTTCCGGTGTAGAAGATTTTGTTAACAATCTGTTCAATTGTACTACACAGTCTCCTCAGGCTGTAAATAAATTTTGTACGTTCACTTTTTGTATGAATTTGTGAATTTAAGAACGTGTATAATGTGTAGTAGGGCTCCTCGACTAACTCTCTTCCACTGTAGGTGTTTGCATTCTATCTGTCATATTGGGTGGTATAAAATAGTAATCATGCGTTTAAACGTAGTGTGTTAGGTAATCAGAGCAAATCAGTCGACAAGGATGTCAGGCTGCATCAGTTGAGATAGCTAAGAAATGTGTTACTCCTGCCAAGCCATTAATTCCTTCAATTAATAATGTTAGCTGATATACAGTTAGGTTTGAAAAGAGTCAGGGGGGTCAAGTCAAAACATGGTATCGATTCATCAAGTTGTTGACTGTTAGTTTGAGTCCTGTAGGAAGAGGGGTGCCAGTTACACCTGGTTGTGGGAACTTATTTTTGGTATTCATTGTAAAGGTTAAACTGTTCTGACTAATAAGGTTAATATCTTTCGAATGTTTTAGTTTATAAGGTTTCCTTTACAAGTTTCTGTAGTGACGAAATAGAATATGTTCACTCTGATACATTATGATTCCATATACATTCGTGTAGTATTGTTTTGCTAATTACTACAACCGTTATTATTATTGTTTTACTGTTCTCTTGTTTTCTGTCCGTCTTAATTTGTGTATCATAAGACTCTGTAATTATGTTTCTGCATATAGCAAGATAATTACTACCTCTTTTTATGCAAACAAACCTTTTATCTGTTTTCTTGGTTATTTCTTCTGAATGTTTTTTTTCAAACCACAGTGTTCTTGATATTGCAGTATTTATGCTATAATCTGTATTTTACGCTGATTAACCTTTCTATTTTCAAGTGTTGTTTTGAAAATATTTTGAATCGATTTCAAGTTTGATCAGGATTTGAATGCAGTTAGAGAATCATTGGAAATCTCTTATTGAAGAACCGGACTTTGAATTCCATCCCAGTGGTTGGAATGGTTATCGAAATTGCCTTGTCATATTGAGGTCCTGGGTTTGATCCCTGGTGGGCTGATGGGTACACATGACTGAAGAGTCCCAGTATAGGACGAAGCAACTATCCAGTACTCTCTGCTAGTTTTCAATGGTTTTCTGAAGTCAACTATTTATCAGACATGTAATTTTTTCTATGTTTATATCATATATATCTTTTTATACTTTATCATCTTGTCGTATAGCGTCGTCTGGTAAACGTGTTCTAGAACTTTTCAAAGTAGAAGAGTCTACCTCAGCATCATCTGTCTCATCTATAAACTCAAATAGTCAACGGGATATTGACACCGTCGCTGATGATGATGATAATAATAGTAATAATAAATCGCCTTTAATTGTACGTCTGCATACAGGCTGTCAGCATTTGTCTAGCTGTTCATATTTGGCTAATCATCAGTTGCCTGAATTATGGCATTACACTCTGATTGGATTAGACAGATTGCTTTCAGCTGTTAGAAATTGTAAGTTTGTGTTTATTATTTTCATATTCTTATTAATTGTCTTATCTGTATATACTTTTGCTTATAGATATTTTTGATAAGACCTTTGGTGGTGTGTTTTTTTCATTACAAATCAATCAATTTCTCTAGTATTTATGTTAGCTTATTCAAGTGTTAGTTCGCAGAGATTTGATTGATTTCAAGTTAAAGCATGAATTGATGACAGTTAGATAATCTTTGGCAGCTAGGGAGTACTGGCTAGCTGTTTCGTTGTAGCCTAGCACTCCTCCGCATTACTCGAAAACATCTTGCTTAGCTTAGTTTATTATATTTAAGTGCAGTGTGTCGAGGGATCCACAAAGGAAAACTCAGAGAAGCTTCTGAAGTGAAGACGGAATGGTTTATGACAAAGGTGTTAGCCTACTATCGTCGATGATATTCCTGATTATGGCGAACTGGAAATACGCGGCACTCCGTGCATGGAGAGTGAGAAGATAGAAATACGCTGAACTGATAAGAAGACTCGCAGACGATTTATGTGTAATGTCAAATAAACTCGGAAAACCACAGGCGAAAAGCAACAGAGATAGCACTTTTAGCAGGCGGAGGTGATGAAGATAACCAACCAACATTGACAACTAACAGCAACAATCATTATCAACGGGAGAAATCTGAAAGAGGTCATTTCCTTCGCTCACCTAGCTAGGCAGCATCGTTTCAACTGCAGGAAGTTGGTACGGATGAGGATGTCGAAACCAGTCAGGATTGAGTGGGCAAGATGGACATTCATCACTATGAAATCCACTTGAAAATCTACATTCGGCATAAACAACAAAATTTGGATTTTCAATACCAATGTTAAGTCATTGAGTTCTTCTAAGTGGTTCAGGAACTTGGCGCTGGCGTTTCAAAGAGCGCTTCCAACTTGTTGCAGACTTTCATTAACAGCCTCCAAAGCCTCAGGATGGTCGGGGGTGGGTTGGCCACCCCTCCGCACACCTCTTGAAATGCTCCCATATGACCAGGCGTCTTACATAGCCTCTCCTGAGGAAGTCCTACTCACTGCCTTCACGTGGCGGAGGTGTTCTTCACCAGAGTGAGAGCGAAAGCGGATGCCCGACGCTCTTCACCGGGTTGACTGTCCATTGAATGACAGTCTAGGAGAGACGGCTAAACCCTTATTCCAAACCTCCAACGACTGGCGTATGGAGCTCACTGGAGCTCACCGGCACACGTATGGACAAAGGGCTTGTTGGATGTCCTGGATGTCTGGCCCCATTCAAAAAGGCGTATGAACCGAACTCTGGTCACCGGCTGCCAATGGATAGTGGACTCCCTACTCCACTCCTACTGCCTTGTAGGTCACACTTGGTTGTGTAAAGGTTAAAGCTGCACTCTCAAACAAAAGGCCGAGCGATTCTGGGGACATCACTCGTACCAAATTCCCATGAAACTTCATGAACTCTCTTACAAACGACTCTTCGAGATGTTCATGAAGCCGGCTCATCCTCCCGTAGGAGATGACCGAAGTAAAGTAAGTAAGTAAGCTTTCTTCATCCCAGCAACAAGGAATTTTCGGGAACAAACGAACCGAGAACCTTTCCTCCTACAAATATATAGAAGCAAAGTGAGATGGATTGGACGTACACTGAAGAAGCCGTTTATTGGCAATGAGCTCCAGGCTCTCAAGTGGAAATTTAGGCAGAAACAACGCTTTGGAGGTCGGGTCTGAGGATAATATGAAAGAGACCATGTGAGGAGGAAGTGATTGTCTATGTGCAGTCGTTTTTTATTCTTTTACTTTCCCAGTGGAACATAGGGCTTCAAGCTAGTGCTTTGAAGTTTCAGTAGTAGTGGTATTCATTTTTAGAGGATGGGATTGTTAGCTACATGCCCAACCTTCCCTCTTTACCAGTCTTGTTACTGGCTTAGCGAGGTAAAGGAGTGCGCCAGCCGTGGTTCGAACCCCGGACCACCTGGGGCGTGGTTGGTTCCATCAGGTCGTTTTCATTAATGTCTGGATGGGGATTATTCATGAATTAGTTTTCAACTGGTAGTTTGTTGGAATTTGGTTGGTTTTAAATTTGACCACTGATTGATAGCAGTTAGAGTACCGCTGACAACCAGGGAGTACTGGATATTTGTTTCCTCCTGATTCGGGACTGCAGGACTCAGTTGCCTAGAGTTCTAGTGAGAAGTCGTGACTAGTGGGGTTCACCAGTTCTGGTGGTGGCACTAAAAATGGCAAATTGACAGTAATGGCAGTTGATAGAGTGTTGGATTTCCTTCAAGTGGCTGAACGGTCAACGAGGTCGTCTCGTAACCTGAATGTCCTGGGTTTGATCCACGGTGGGGTTACAGCTACCTACTGATGAAAAGTCCTAAACAAGGATGAAACAACTTTCCAGTACTCCGTGGTTGTCAACTGTTTTCAGCTGAAATCAATCTGTGATCAAACTTGAAAACATTGAAAATTACGTTGTATGCATATACATATTAGAACTTGTCATCTATCATTATTGGGACTGTCAGGATCTGATGAAAGCTTATAATTAGCTGAACGACCACTTTTAAATTATCCTCTATAATAATAAAATGTCTTAAATATTTTCATTTATTTTCTGTTTGACAGTATCGTTTTGTGGTCAGCTTTTAATTGAATCGGGCCCGTTAACCACAAATCTTATGACTCGTCTTATTGAACGTCGACAATGGGTTGCAGCTCCAAATCCACAGATGATTTTACAACCTGCATTATACTTTTTCCAACATTCTAATCAATCAGTTGATGAAAACTCAAGTGAAACCTGGCTATCTGTAAAAATTAATTCATCAACTGGTTATTTTTGTGAACTCATTCCTCCAAGTTAGTATACATTAAAGAATTTTTTCGGTATTTACTTCATTTGAGTTGACTGTTCTGCAGAATTTGAGCAGTATTGTGTTGTTCGTATGTCATACTTTCTTGATAATCCCATTCATAAGCACTGACTCTTGTGCAGAATGTCTGTTATTCAGTTCGCTATTCGCTCACTCTTTAAGCATGGATTGCGAGTTAACAGACGTTACAATATCATGCTAGACATTCTTGTCAGTATTTTAGTACGCAAAAGAAGTAAATAATTTGTGCATCGATCTTTTTAGTAACATGTTAATTTGCATTGCTTCTGAAGAGAGTTGGAATGTTTGAAATGTTCTGAGCCAGGGGTACTGTAAATGATTTAGATTAGTATTAAAGCTTGAGTTTGCTTCGTATGGTTAGTGTTTAAGAGAATTGACGAAGTTTGGTTTAGTGCTTAATACAATTTGCGATGCATTAAAAAGAATATTTGTTATCAATAGCTTACAAAGTAAAGTCAGTAGCATTAGTGTTAGGTGTTTTAAGAAATAATCACTATCGTTAAATTTTTCAAAATTCAGCATGACGCCAAGTCATATAAATTTTATGATTGATTTGAGCAATGCAGGCGACTTTTATCCTTTTTTAGCTCTAATCTGAGTGATGTCCAAAATCAGGATTTTAAGACTATAATTATTGTCGTTTTGAATTACGTCTAGCGATGATATGCCTGTATTCATACTATTTGGTTTTTATAGATTTTATCTATGGGCTTTCACCTTCCCCTGTTCTGTCAAATATAATATGATACTACAAAACTGGACTACATCGACTCCCAGCTTAAAGATAGGGAGTGTAGTGGTAGAGCGTGTTGTCTACTTCAGTTATTTGGGTGACTGCATCTCAGCTGTAATGGACTTATTGCTGACGAAATCTAAGCACGGATACATAAGGTTTGTGTGGTATTTGCCAATCTACGTCATCATCTATGGCGTAGACGTGATTTGCGTCTATCCATGAAGGGACGTATTTACTAAGCAGCAGTTCCCTCTGTCCTCCTTTATGGCTGTGAATGAGACATGACCATTGGAAGTAGTAGACATGAAATGGCTGGCTGTGATTAACTACAGATGTTTTCATTCTATCCCCTGCGCTAGGTGGTATAATATGACAATCCACTGTCTTCCTTTACGAACGATGTTAACTGACATAGGATTAGCTCGGAGGGTGAGACAAACCAAAATCTGGCATCTAATCCATAAAGTCTTTGACCGTTGTTTTGAGCAACGTAAGGAGATCTAGACAGTGTGTTTGGAGGGGTGGAGGCGTCTTCCGGAGTCTAAAAATCAATGACCGGAAACTGTTGATGATATGATATGGCTCAAAATCACTGTCAATGGAGCAAATACCTTGAGTCTTTGTGACCTCTCATATTCATTAAACCCTTACTATTTTTCCTTCCCTACATTTCTGCTCATTATAATTCTTTTGAATTTTTGTGCTACACGGATTGTAGGAACTTGAACCGGCACACTTCTGTGCAAATGTGTATGTTGAAACTCAGTCCGTCAGTGAGTACTAAATGACTGGGCATGGAAATCGCATTTTCAAATCGTATATATAAGATATTTCTTCTTAATGAAATTAAATCAGATTATGAAGCATATCGTATTCTTATGTATACATTGTTCATAACTATTTTACAGGTACATATCTTATGTTTGCTTCTGCTGGACCAGACAATTCAACACTAGAAAATGCTTATGAACAAGTTGCTATGGCTATCTCGTTTCATTTAGACCACTTCAATGGAAGATCACATATTCGTTTAGAAAGAGAATTAGATGAAATCAATTTCAATGGGCCAGAGGATATATACGATTATATGCGTAAGCGTACTACTGAATCAGTGAATTCATCGTGTGGCAGAATGTATTCAATTGGTCAGTCACATTTAGTAAGTCAGTTTTTCTCTCCTCTTTTGCCTTTGCCATAACCTTTCATTAATTGATTGGTTGATGTTGATTTGAATTTTCGAGTTTTGGTGGTTTGAAGGAATTTGATCAGTTTAAAGTTAAATTTCTTAATGAATCAGTATTATTTCGAGTCTGATGACGTATTGATATCACTTAGGGAACCATTGAAAACCATAGAGTAGCAGACAGCTGTTTCGTTCTAGTTTGAGACTCATCAGTAGTATGCACCCGCTGGGTTTCGAAACCAGGACCTTCTTGGTATAAGGCTAGCTCGTAGGCCATTCAACCATCAGGACCCGACTCAATCACCCATGGATTCTAACTGCCACTTACGCGAAACCCAGTGGATTTTTACTGATGATGAATCCGGAACTAGGACGAAACAACTGTCTAGTACTTCCTGGTTTTCAATGGTTCTGTAACTGACATTAAGCAGTGACCAAACTTGAAATAAATCAAATCCCTACAAATAAACTAATGAAAGTTAATATTAGTTAGAGAACTGTTGAAAACCGAAGAGTACTAGACAATGTTCGCACCATGCAGAAGATCAGATCGTCGGTTAGAAAGAATAAACAACAAGGAACTCTGGTAGGACAGTCAACCAATCAAGAACCTACCACCCAACGAATATATAGAAGCAAATAGAGATGGATTGGACACTCTGAGGAGACCGTTGAGTAGGATCAATTGCCAGGTCATCGGGTGGAACTGGATTGTTAAACGACAGGTTGGCCGTTCAGCTGTAAGGAGGAAACAATAGCTTATGGCCAATCGTGAGGGCCAACTAAACAACAATTGTAGATAATAGAGTGACATGGAGATGTGCTTCTGAAGCCATATGTTCCTCTAGGAACCCAAAGGAATAGTGATAATAATACCAGACATCTGTTTCGTCATCCTTATTTATCAATGACTCTACCAACTATCGGTCCCATGACCCTCATGTTACGAGGCAAGCAAGTTAGTATTTAGTTGCTGTGACAAAATCCAGTGGTCCGTGAATTCTGACCTTTGCCAATTCATGATATCTAGCAGTATCGCTATCCAATTTTATTGGTGAGAATCTATTCTCAAACCAAAAATGATGAACTTTACAGGTCACAAATTTTCTTTGAATCTTAAGAAGTCTGTCTCATAGTCAGTCACTGATGAGCAGTAAATTTGTTCATTAGTGAGTGTAACTAAATTTAATGTTTCCTGTCATAAATGAATACCAGCCATATTAATTATTATAATTATTAAACATTATGAATTCTAAGTAATTTATTGTATTATTATTCCCTTGGACTCCGAGTGGGGCGTAACGCTTCAACAGCACATCTCCATTTCATCCTGTCCTCTTCAGTCCTTTTCAGCTGGCTGGACGCTTGTTCATCTGCTTTCACCTCCCCCTTCCCCCACGCGAACACCTCCATGTCATCCTCAGACTCATGCCGAACTCGTCGTTTTCCAGCCAAGTTCCACTAGATACATGGCCTTTCACATGATGTCACTTAACGGTTATCCGATCACATTTACTTCCATATACTCGTTGGGAAATAGTTGGTTGTTGGTTGATTCGCTTCCAGAGTTCCTTGTTACTTATCCTGTCTGGTTGACTATCTGATCTTCAGTAATGTGAAAAGTGATTATTGTTTGTATGTAGGTGGGTATTGAGAAATTCATTCTGGATTTCCCTTATGGTTTCGTATTACAAATTGCTGGATTAAAATGGGACAAAAGGGAAATCGATTTCTAAGCAGTCAATATTTTCTTACAACTGCGTTCTTCTGAATTTTTATGGTATGAATACAACCCATTTACCATCAATCATACTAACTCGTTATTCATATTACGCATAATAATAATAATTATAATAATAATATGAATGGTGATAAAACTATTGACAACAGCAGAATATTATTTATGGATGTCATAATACGTCTTATAATATTAAGGGACAGGGAAATGCAAGGGAGGAAGATATTAATTTGATTTCGAATTGACTGTGTGGAATATTCCTAAATTACACTTTAAGATTCCCGGTCAGTTACGTTTTTTGTGGTTGATGGTGACTGACGATGGAATCCAGACTCGTCAGCTGGATATGCCCGAATGCCCAGTGATTGATCTAGTTCTCGCTGGAACTCTAACCTAACACACCGAAGCACATCCTGGACTCCAACACTAGCCACCATCAGTCAAATAACACGGTGTTAGTCTTCAGACGTCATCGAAGCGTTCATAGTAGAAGCCGACATATCAAAAGTTACCAAACATCTTAGTGCAATGAAATCAATCAACATTGAATATAAATCAACTTAAATAAATACTTAATCTGATGCCCGCTAGCAACTGGCCGTATACAGGAAGTTACCTAGGGTTCTGGTGTGAAGTGGTAACCAGCGGGGTGTGCCGATTTCAGGCAAGAGGGCAGTTACTCGCTTGTGACACTGGCTGTCTGTTGTGCTAAGTATATATCATGAATTGGCAGAAGTTGGAATTCATGAACCATTGGCTGAATGGTCTACGAGCTCGCCTCGTAACCGGTAGGTCCTGGGTTTGATCCTCTGTGATGGGTGAATAATGTCAAAGAGCCTTCCAGTGCTCCCAGGTTTTCCAATGGTTCTCTAACTGATGACAAGTTTTGATAACTCCTGTAAATGGTGAAATGTTTGTTTTCTTTTCTTTCTTGCACTAAAGAAGAATGTTCAACCTTTATCCTCTACATTTCTGTGTCTACTTGTCTTGCACATTTTTCTGTTCTGTTATTGTGTCTAATGCTTTCATTGAATGCCACTGTTGAAAACGATTACATGTATTTGAAAGCATACCGTGAGGCTGTCTTGTTTAACGGTTTCCTTATTGTTTATTGTTTTTCATTTACAATGCTGATATATCCTATCTTTTTTTTTATCTATTCCTATTCTTATTTAGGGTAGACCTATTTATGCTTTTGAACTTGGTCCTAAATATACAACATTAGAGTTGATAAATGTCAATACAACCAGTACCAATAGTAATAATAATAATAATAATAATAATAAAAATTCAAATGTAATGCCCAATAGTGAACTCTTTTTCGATGTAATCAATGATACTTATCCTTTGAATGATTCCATGAAACATATGCCAAAAATAGCTATTATCGGTAATCTACACGGACATGATCGTTTAACACCTCAACTATTGACACATTTCGTAAATTTCCTGTGTGATAGTCGTAGTAGTCAGATAACGGTGAATAACTTATTGAATTCGGCAACAATTACAATCATTCCGATTCCTAATCCTGATGGTTTGTACAAGTCGTGGAGTAAGAAACATGCATCATCATCTGCTGATTGGAGAACGTCTGAAAGCTCACTGTTTGATAATGATTATTGTTATCATTCTAAAAGGTATGACATCCATGTATTTTTGCTTTTTTATAACCCTTTTCCAAATCATGAATCTTATATAAATTGCAGGTTATTGTCATGGTAGGAAAGTGAATTAAACTTTGTTACTTGTTGACGCTTTGGGAACGTATGCTTTTCTTCTTTGCACTTTTTTCCTATCACTGTTATTACTTCGGAACATTAATAATTTACTAATAAAATGCAGAGGCTTCTGAACACCTTGAATAGCGATCTTCGAATGTTCCTGTCAATTGAAAGATGATGATGTTACAGGACTGGAATACGCCTACTCCTAGCATAAGGATGCGGAGTGAAGTGGTAGGGCATGTTGATTATTTCACTTACTTGGGAAATTACATCAGCGTCAACGGGCTGATTGCTGACAAAATCTCAGCACGGATACAAAAGGCTTGTGTGTCATTTACCAACCTACATCATCTCTGGTGTAGACGTGTTATTCGACTACCGATCAAAGGATCTGTGTATTGTGCAGCTGTCCTCTCCGTCCTCCTTTATGGCTGTGAATGAGACATGGCCATTGAAAGTAGTAGACATGAAAAGGCTAGCTGTCTTTGATCATAGGTGTCTGCATTCATATCTCCTATGTTAGGTGATATAAAAGGGTGAATAATACTGATATTAGGCGTCAAGAGAAAATCTAACGATGAGTTTATGAAGCTGCATCGATTGAGGTAGCTAGGACGTGTGTCACGCATGTCTAACCGTTGGTTTCCTCGGCGTAGCTTTAAGTTGGAAAGGAGCTAGGGATCAACGAACGAAGACATGAAATCAGTTAATGAAGTTTTTAACAATTGGTTTTAGCCACGTAAGGAGGTGTAGGCTCCCTGTCAGAGTGCTCGTGATTCTAAGAACCAAAGGCTGGAGACGATTGTGGATATGGTTCAAAATGGTTCTCAGTGGAGATGATGCATTAACTCTTTGAGATCAGCCATATTCCATAGAACCCTATTGTTTTTCCATATTACTATTCTTTCTTCACCACATTTCAACTTATTATCCTTCTTCCAAATCTCTTGTTTCCTCTCTTTTGTTCACCTTTGTGTGCTACACGGAGAGTGGCAACTCGTATTGGTGCACTTCTGGGGAGTTCTATGTGGAAACCAGTTGGTCAGGTAGCCAGATGGTTTGTATGCTTGTACATATAAAGCTAATGGGTCACAGTTTCGAATCATGCTCCGCCTACTGCAACATGAGTATCATCAGATCCCGCTCAATAAGTGTAGCCTATAGCCCAGAGCATGAAAGTCGGCTCAAAGAATTAAGTTTCAATATGTGAAGCTTAATCAAGGTAATAGAACTTTATTATTTTTAATATTCTGATTATGTTTGCTTATTCATTGTTTAATTTTTTTCAATTTTGTTTCAGCACTGATAATACCGTATTTCCTGGTTATACAAATGATGCTGGTACAGATTTGTGGGGACAGTTAATCAGTAAGTTGAAATACGTATGTTTATATATTTATTATTTTGTTTGGAGTGGGACTGACATGAACCCGTCTGTCTCTGTCTGTCTGGATTCAACATAGAACTTGGCATCGAAGTGCCGCAGTTCGAGTTGCCACGTTCCAAATAACACACAAAGGTAGGCAAGAGAATGAGTGAAGAAAATCAATAGAGTTGTGACAAGTTTAAGAGTAAAACAGAATGAGTAATGGTAGGAAGGAATATGAAAGATTACAGAGACTGAATACATCTGCGTAAGCCATTGACAACGATTTTGAGCCATGTCACCTATTGTCTCCAGCCATTGATTCTTAGAGTCCCGAGGGCCCCAACCTGGAAGTCTGCCTCTCCCTACCTGACTCAGTTTAACTGTCACCAACCGATATGATCTCTTCAACCGTTTGTTTGACCGGGTGGACTTAAACGCAATGAAAAACTCAACTGAAATGCTAGACGTGTTTATTCGTTGTTATTACCTTCTGCTTCATTGAGTTACGTAAGTATCAAAGGACGGAGATTCGCCTGTGATGGCAACGAAAAAGTTGACAACAACAAAGAGGACAACTACGACGATCATTTATTAGACATTGAGGTCAAAGATCATCCAATCCACAAGATGAATTCTGCAACCACTGGCTTAAAATATTAGTTACTATTTTTAGGCGCTTCCTATTAGGAAAATTGGATTTCAAGCTTAAGCTTTGAAATTTCAGTAGCGGTGGTTTTCATGGAGTGGGGTTGCTAGACTCACACTCGACCTTTCATCTTTTACCGTGCTTTAATGCCTGGTAAACTAGGTTTTGGAGTACATTGGCCGGCAGCCTAGCCCTGTAACATGTGAGTGACTGCTGAGTATCCTACCATTGAACCATAACGCATATGTGTGAGTATAGACAGGTAGTAAATTAATCATGTTCAGACTATGAAGTTTTCCTTTTGTAAAAATGTACAAGAGGAACATATGAGAGTGATAATAGTGAATTAATTATTGAAGTAAAAGCAAACTAAGAGCAAAATTAAAAATTAAAAAAGAAATTAGAATTTTTTTTTACAGGGAACGACTAGTGAAGAGGTTAAGACCAAGGTAGAAAAAGAGACTAGCCAAACTTTTTCTGTATACAGAGTTCGGGGTTGTATTGATAAATTGCCAGCGCCTCCCCCATACACAATGTCCGAAACCTGATGCCTTTTGTTCCATTTGGCTCCACCTTGTAGATGATCTTGAAAAACGACTCTGGTGGAGCTATGTGGCTTGAGTTCACCAAATGCTCGAGAATTGAGCTAGTAATTGCCTTACATTGTCCTTTGGCTAACCATGCCGGATGATGTTCAGAGGCGCGTTTCGAAAATGTACGCTTTGTGCGGCCAATATAACTAGCTCCACACGAGCAGGTCCAAAGCGGCAGTTTATCCTTCACACATCCATTGATCATTTGTCGGCTCTAGAAATCGATCCATAGGTCAACCGTAAAGAAGGCTTTCCTCAGTGATCTGCATAAGCGATTCTTCAGGATCTCAGTTACGGTATCATCTGAAGGATTGGCCCTGAAAATTGTATACTGCGACTTACCAGTCCGTATTCAACGATAAGATCTTCATATACATACAACTCTAAAAACCAACTCAAACAGGGTTGGTGGTAATCAGTTGTCCCCTGGACTCTTCGGTCATGCATCAATAATGCTTCTTCTGCTTCAGATACTTAAAGAAGAAACCAACTTCCATGGTTATGCTGTATATGAGAAGTGAACTGGTGGACAGTGTATACAACGTTCTACATTGATTCAGTCAGTCAGGACGTTGTTAATGTTAAAGTTAAAAATAGCGGTATTATCTCCCATTATTCTTAAAGATTTGTATCTTTGGATAGTGAATTAGAAGCCTGTTCATACACTTAAATAATCAATTTTTTTCATTTGGAAAGTTTTGTTCTACTTCAGTTATTATTTATGCTGCCTTTGTTGTTGTTGTTGTTTTTCTAAGGTCTAACCGGAAGTAATTTAACTGTGAGTCATCAATGGTGGTGGGAATCAAAGTCGAAGCTGGAGTCTTTATCAAAATCACTTGCACCAGAGAATCTAGCTTTAGTGAAATGGTTAAAGTTGCATCAAGTTAATTCTATTATAAGTTTTCCAACTGATCGACTACCTGATATAAATTATGATACAGGCAAGTTTGCTTTATTTTATCGGATTACTTAAAATTGACTTATACTGTTCCTAAAGCCTTTTTTGCTTGTAAATATAGTTAGTTGATGGAACTCATCGCCTTCACATAATTGAAGGGGTGAATGCAAACGTCTGGCGCTTACAACCGGACTGGTGGACGTACCGGTCTACCTAAGTCAGTTCAATTTGAAAGCTCTGGTTCCAAACTTATGGTGTACATGGGCTACAGAATGCGAACTGATCGAATGGCGTATGAACCAGTTTTGGCCGCCGGAAACTATGGGGACGCAGCTCTTAACGCTAATATTCTGTCTTGTGGATTGGACGTCAAGTCAAAGTTTCTGGGGAGGAAGGCCTCTTAAGACAACCAACTGCTTCGGTTTGGGTGTTCGGGCAGTATCCCAACTCCCTCACAAACTATGAGATTCTGTGTAGCGCATCTTATAGTGCCTATTATATACCAAGTTTGTGTTTTAATAAATAATAAGGAGTAACCCGGTACTGGGTTATGAGTTCCATCTATCGTGTGAAGGTTAACGATACTACCCAGTCAATTGCCCAGGCCTAAGTAAGTGAAGCGGGATTGAGACATAGGATCTGTTGTCTGAAAGTGGGGTGTTTAAGCCAATGGACCACTTCTTTACTTAAATCTGGTTAAAAAAGATAGTGTTGCGAATGAACAAACTGGAAAAATATGGACACCTTACATTTAAATTTCTTTTTGAAAAAGTTATCCTTGTTTTACTTATTTTCTTTTTTTTTTTTCATAATTTCTATATATTATTTCACAGTGATCTTCATTTCTCCCCTCCGTTACTCAATCCGTTAGTCCGCTTTTAAAGATTCTCGCAGAATACATCACTTACACACACGAATGCTACCTATACGTTTTTGTCAGCGGCATACTCCACAACAGTAGCTTGGTCGTATGCTATTGAAGTTGAAACAGGCTAGATATTGGGATTTATGGGAAGTCGCTGCGTCGGTAAAAATGACAAGCTATCGATAACTGAAGTGTTAGTAATGGGTTTGCAGTTGGGGAGGGTGAAATGACAACTAAATCCATGACTGGCATACATCCAGTCATTCTTTAATTTAAAGATTGATCACGAAATGACTTCAATTAGAGAATCATTGAAAACCAGGGTGTGCTGGAAAGCTGTTCTGTTCTTGTTTAGGACCCTTAAGCACTTCTCACCGATGAGCCCACCAGGGGTCGAATCTAGGACTTTCAGGTTACAAGGTGATCCTGTTGATCTTTAAGTCACTGGAAAGAAATCCAATGACTCATGAATTCTGACTTCTGCCTATTTGCGATACATAATGCGGCTGCCAGGCATTGTCACTGACAAGTATTTGTCGTCACACCCAACTTGGTGGTGGAACTCGGTGGTCCCTGCAAAGCAACACTTGAAAGTATTCTTTAATTGATAGCCTGAACTGTGCATAGAGGAATGTAGGCGTTAATGATGAGAGAATCGTTAATGACTGATTAAGACTGCAGGTTATGCGACTTGAATCCTTAACATAATTACACACATACTTTCATATTGTAGCTACTCATGTAAGTCTTTCCATCAGATCTTCCTTGACTTGCTTTTCTTTAAATTTGGAAACACTGAAGAGTTGTTGATTTCACAAATTATCACTAACTGCTTAAAAATTGGGTAGTTAATGTGAATAGTTGTTATTACTATTCCCTTAGGTTTCGACTGAGACATAGAACTTCAGCAGCACACCTCCATTTCACCATGTTCTCTGCTGTTTTTTCTAGATGGCTCCAAGATTGCCCATAATCTTTCATCTCCTCTTCCTCCATATCACCCTCGGAGACCTGTTCAACTCGTCGTTTCCCAGTTTTGGGTTCCACTCGACTATCTGCCCGGCACTCGATGTCAATCACCGGTTATCTCAGTTTATCTCCAATCCATCTTTATTTGTGTGCATATTTGTTAGGTAATATGCTTCTTGATTGGTTTGTTGCCAGTAGATCAAGCCCACCCATCATTGTGGAATCCAAATTCATCCAACTGTGACGAACCCTGAATGCATGTCCTGTTTTCTCTTGCTAGTCACAATCCACCGAATTACTTCGAGTGAAAAACAAAAAATAACAGCAATTGTAAAAATAAGCGAAAAGTGCCTAGCTTAATTGAACAAATTGAAAAATAAATAAATGTTTATCCTTCTCTTAGTATTCTAAGGCCAAGTTAGAAATAGCGACAGTACATATTTCATTTGTACGCAAAGCTCTGGCTTGAATTCATAAGTAACGAAAGCCTTCTCTTGCTTTAGAAGTTTTGAACGAAGAAAACATATAAGGTTAACATGAATTCGATAGATGATCTTAAAATTATGGTCAGGTTTGTTTAGTATGAGACACAAGTCGTCGATCAAGTGTTCTACAGTAGAACGTCTCATACCCTTTCTTTCTTCCTTACAAAATCATACTGGAATCTGCTCTCGTATCCGTATAGAAAGTATTTCACATTGTTATTATAAGCATTCACACAACTTTTTGTTTAAATTTCCTCATGGGATATAATTTCTTAAAAATCATTTATAAAATATATTTTTCTAACTATTTGTTTCCTTGAAGTAATTTGGTGGATGGTGACTCGCATTGGAGTATTTACGACTCGTCAGGCACAAATGTATCTGCGTTGCTAGTGAGAGGTGGTGGTTCCACTCAGACTCACACCCCACTACCCATCGTTTCAGATGCCGAAGCGTTATTCATTAGACCACTTGGACCACCTCTTGTGCGACGGGCATCAGTTATTGTTCGCGTTTAAATTCAACTTTGATTTTCCCGTTGATTGATTGCACTGAAATGTCCGGTCACCATCCCCTCAGACATCGTTGAAATCGCACTAGGAGCTGACATCTCAACTGAGGCCAAACATTTTGCTTCAATCAATCAATGGGGAAATCAAGATTGAATTTTTTTGTATGTATAAACTATTCTCTATGGTAATGATATTTTTAAAAATTTTTCCTTGTCTGTAATTCATTTTGTGATTACTCTGTTTTAGACCCTAGTGAATCACAGTATGGTCGGGATTTATTACTAGAAAGTTATAATTGGTTAAGATTTCTTGGTAAATTACTTTCTCCAAGTTTTCATCGTCCATCCAGTATGTGTACACTAAGTCAATCACAATTCTCTCAGAAAATTTCTAAAATATCTGATCGACGTCGCAGACCTGGTGATTTTGGTTCTCAGCAATACGATCATAATAATAATAATAATGCACAAAGGCTGGAGAATACATTTGCCAAAGCTGCCGCTCTATCCCTTAGTCTAGCCTCAATGAATCCAACATTAGCCCTAGAAGAAACGGAGAATTTTCAACTACAGTCCAGTCTGTCATTCGCTCCTCCATTGCCTTTAATGATACCGCCAAGTGTTGGTCTCACTCTATGCCCTGGATGTTTTTCACCTACTCCCACTGGTGTTGCTCGTGTATGGACAGATTACAGGTTTCCAAGTTTATTACTTGCTCTAATTGAGCATACTAGTCTAACGGGGCTAGGAAGTCTTGGTCTAATTGGTCATGTTCATGTGAGTTTTTAAATCTAACAAATAAATAAGTCAGGTATATATATATATATATATATAGGTTGTAGTTGCTAGTAATTGTTTCGTTTATGTTACTGTATTTTGGATTGGAAATATTATTATTATTATTGTTCCCTTGGGTTCCTAGTGGAACATAGGGCTTCAACTGCACGTCTCCACTTACTTCTGTCTTCTGCTGTACTTTTCACTTGCATCCATGTTACTCCATACTGTTTCATCTCCTCCTCACACGATCTCCTCCATGTCACCCTTGGACGTCCCACTCGCCGCTTCCCTTTCGAGTTCCACTCGAGCACTGGCCTGACGCGCGATGTCACCCAACGGCCTCCTCAGCGAGTGTCCAATCCATCTCCACTTTCTCCTGCATATTTGTTAAGCGATTGGTTCCTGTTTTGTTTGTTCCCATAGCTTCTTGTTTGTGATTCTTTCCGGCCATCTAATCTTCAGTATGGAGCGAAGACAGTTGTTGATAAAGGTCTGCAACAGGCTGTTGGAAATATTCTTGGTGACCCGCCAAGTTTCTAATCCGTATAGCAAAACTGACTTGACGTTTGTATTGAAAATCCGAATTTTGTTGTTGATGGTGAGTGACGAAGATTTCCAGATTGGTTTCAGGTTGATGAATGTGTTTCTCGCCTTCCCGATTCTCGATTTGACATCCTCGTCCGTCCGTTCCTCCTGTAGTTGAGACAATGCTGCCTAGATAAGTGAAGTGAATGAAGTAACCTCTTTCAAATCCCTCCCGTTGATGGTGATTGGCGCTGGATGTTGCTGCTCTTGTTGTTGTGGTTGTTGGTTGGTTATTTTCATAACCTCCGTCTTCTGTATGTTCACCTGGAGTCCTGTCTTCGCTTCCTGCTTCTTCGACCAGTTTGTCGGTTATGGCTTGGAAGTCTTCGATTTTGTGTGACATCAAACATAAATCATCCGCAAAATCCAGGTCTTCTAGGTTCTTCACGTCGGTCCAGGATATCCCTGTCTTCTCGTTTCCCACTGTCTGATGCATAATCCAGTCCACCACAATTAGGAATATCATTGGTGATAATAGGCACCCTTGTCTGACTGCTGTGTTTACTCCAAACGCCTCGATGAGTTTTCCGTTGTGGATCACTTGACATGTGCCGTTGTCGTACAGCTGTTGAATAAGGTTGATGAATATTTGGGGTACGCCGTAGTACTCGAGTAGTTTCCAAATTACTTCACGATCAACGCTGTCGAAGGCCTTCTCAAAGTCTATGAAGTTGAGGTAGATGTTTGATTGTCATTCCATGCTTTGTTCGATGATGATGTGTAGAGTTGCGATTTGGTCAGAACATGATTTGCCTTTCCTGAATCCAGCTTGTTCTGGTCGGAGTTCTGTATCCAGTGCGTCCTTTATTCTCTCCAGGATGATGCGACTCAGGATTTTACTTGGTGTCGACAGGAGCATGATTCCTCGCCAGTTCTTGCAGAGTCCTAGGTCGCCCTTCTTTGGTAGTTTCACTAGGTAGCCTTTTTTCCAGTCAGTAGGCACCTTTCCCTCCTTCCAGATCTTTTGCAATAATGGAGTCAGCATATCTGCTGTCGTTTCTGGGTCCGCTTTCAGTGCTTCCGGGGGTATTCCATCTGGTCCAGCTGCTTTTCCAGCTTTCAGAAGCTTGATTGCATTCATGACTTCAGTTTTCGTTGGAGGATTAGTGTCAACTTGCAGTTGTGTACGTGCTGTTGTTGGTATTTCTGGACGGGTTGCAGGTGGCGGTCGGTTCAAGAGTCCTTTGAAGTGGTCCGCCCATTGTTTTATCTGTCTTTCTTCCTTGGTAATTGGGTTCCCTTGGCTGTCTTTTATAGGTTTCATTTGTGTTGATCTCTTCCCGGATAGAGACTTGGTTATCTGATATAGTGTCCTCAGGTCCCTTTTGCCTGCTGCCTTCTCAGCTTCAGTGGCCAGATTGTCGTAGAATTGTCTTTTGTCCTTTCTAGCACTCTTCTTCACTTCTTTGTCCAGTGCTGTGTAAGTTGAGCTCAGCGTTCTTTCTCTTGTCCATCTTTGCATTGAATCATTTTTTCTTTCACCATTCTCCTCTCCTCTATTAGCTTCCAGGTGTCCGTTGAGAGCCATTCCTTGTCTTGTTTCTTCTTTCTTCCTAAAACCGTTGAGCACGTTTCGTTGAAAATTACCTTCAGAGAGTTCCAATGGTCTTCCACGGATGATTCCTCAGTGGTGGCAAGTAGTGTTTCCTGCTTTGCTCTGACAGTTGCAGTGAAAATGTCCTGTGTGATTGTGTCCTTCAGTTTTTGAGTGTAGAACTTGCATTGTGGCCTATTCCCAGCTATCCTCCAGGCTTTTAGCTTCACCTTGGAAGTTCCTTGTACTAGATAGTGGTCTTGACCCACATCTGCTCCTCTCCTCGATCTTGTCTCCTGTAGGCTCCATTTCCACTTCCTTGAGATTGAAATGAAGTCTATCTGGTTTTAGGTGTGTCCATCTGGTGAAATCCATGTCGCCTTGTGTATATCCTTGTGTTTGAACACACTGCCACCAATCACCAGCTCATTGAAGGCGCAGAAGTCTGAGAAGAGTTTGCCATTTTCGTTCATTTCACAGAGGGCCGGACGACCCATGGTGAGTTCTCTTCCTGTATTGTCTCCTTCCAGTTTCGCATTCATGTCACCCATCAGGATTTTGATATCGCTCTTTGGGACGTTGTCCATTACTGTTTGTAGTTGACTGTAGAAATCCTCCTTCTTCTCATGTTCTGAGACGTTTGTAGGTGCGTAGCATTGAATGATTGTAACCTTTTTTCCTTTTGAGTTGAACCTGGCTGTCAGTATCCTGGAGGAGATTCGTTCCCACTGCATGAGAGCTTTGGCTGCTGTTGGTGACATCATGATGGCTACTCCCTCGGTGTGCTCGTGATCGTCTTCTGGGTGACCGGAGTAGATTATTGTCTCTCCAGTTGGTATTGGCACCTTCCGCATCCGTTTCATCTGCTCTCACAGATTCCCAACACTTCTATTTCATATCTCCTCATTTCTGCGGCTACCTGGGCAGCCTTTCCAGTTTCGTACATTGTACGAATGTTCCGCGTCCCCATTCTTATTTTTGTTTTTATCGAATGAAGGCACATCGGCTGACTGGCTTCCCGAAGGCTTTCACCAGCCCGCGTCATTTCACTTCCCCGATTCCTGCGAAAAATTAGGTTATTGTTTGTATTTTTAGAATTTTGAATATATTTGTGCGTTGAAGTTTTAGTAGCAATTTGGTTAAGTTTTGGGGGTGGAGTTGCTAGCACCACGCCCCAACCCTCCCTCTTTATCCGGGCTTGGGACCGGCTAGAATACTAGTGACCTAGTAATCTAGACGAGGTTGGATTGGAAATACCTGGTTCCTTTTTATATTTTACTGCATGGTCCCCCCAGGTTGATGATGAACTACCTTCAGTTAGAGAACTATTGAGAATCAGGAGGTACTGGATGGCTCTTTCGTCCTTGTTTGGGACGCTTCATCAGCACACACCCATGACCCCAATGGGATTGGACCCAGGACTCTCTAACTGAAGTCAGTCAAATCCCTGCAAATTAACACTTGAAAATTTAGTAGGCTCAGAGCAACGGCTTCCGAATTACTAGTCCGGTGGTTCACCTTCTGAGCCACGAGGCCTAGCTGCCGGGTAAATTAATTCAACACAGTCTTCATTAACCTTCTGGTATGTATACACTAATTCATTTGTAGTTTTCTAAAATATCAACGAATAATAACGCAGTTATTAGCGATTACTGGTGTAGTATTGTTTGTCCCTTTGGTTCTTAGTAAAACAAAGAGCTTCAGCAACATATCTGCGCCTCACTGGGTTCTCTGTGCTACCATTTTCAGTTGGTTCTACCACTTTACACAAGCTGTCATCTCCTCTTCATGTGACCTTTACCATGCCACACTTGAATGCTCAACTTGTCATTCCCTACTCGACTTCCACTCGATAACCTAGCGCGTGATGTCACTCAACGGTCTTCTCAAGTGTATGTGCATCCCATCTCAATATCCTTCAGCATATATATTGACTAGTAGGTTTTTGGCTGCTTCCTTCAGTATCAAGCGAAGGGGGCAGCTGTTGATGAAAGGTTGGAGTAGTCTATCGGAAATACTTTTTGGTGATGCGCGTAACAAATTTCTGAACCGTATAGAGGCACTGACTTTAGTGTTAAAAGTCCGAATCTTGTTCCTTTTACTGAATACTGTAAACCTCCACATTGATTTCGTGATCTTGGTTGGCTTTGACAAACTCATCCTCATCTCATCATTCATCTTCAGATCTGAATTTCCTTTCGCTAGTGAAGTTATTACTAAAGTAGAATTTAAAATATAACATATAGACTATCTTTTAAAGTAATCTCTGTGTTCTATTTCCTAAAAATTTACATCAACATATAATTCATAGTTAACTCAGTGTATATTTCGAAGGATTCATCAGGATTTGATTTTGGACTTCTTAGTTTGAGATTCACGGAAAAAATTGAACTAATACTTGAAAATCTCCAGGCACTTTTTCGTATTATTATTGTTCTTTTCGGTTCCTAGTGGAACATAGGGCTTCAACAGTACATCTCCACTTTGTCCTGTTCTCTGTGGTCCTGTTTACCTGCCCCCACGATTACCCATAGTCTCTAATCTCCATGTGTCCTTCGGACGCCCAACTCGTTGTTCCCTTTTCGAGTACCACTAGAACTCTGGCCTTGGTGTACGATGTCATTTGAAGGTTTCCTCATTGTGTATACGATCGGCATGTTTAGTGAGCAATATGTTCTCGGTTGGATTGTTTCCGTAGTTCTTTGTTGACTATCTGTTCCACCTGGCTATCTTATCTTCAATATGGAATCAGCGAAAACAGATGTTCTTAAGTGTGTGCATTATCTTTTTGGAAATGCTTTTTGTGACGCATTTGCCATTTGGTGTTTGTTGTTTATGCTGAGTGCAGAGGATTTCAAAGCTGGTTTCAGAGTGATAAAGGTTTGTGTTGCCTTTCCGATTCTGTTTTTGACATTCTCATCTACACTGTCGCCTGTAGCTGAAACAATGCTGCCTAGATAAGCAAAGAAAGTGACCTTTTTCTAATTCATCCCGTTGACAGTGATTGGTACTTTTGTTGTTGGTCAGTGGGTATCTTCATCACCTCTTTCTTCTTTATTTGTACTCTGCTTCTTGTACCAGTTTGTTGCTTTTCGTATTGTAGTAATTAACATTTGCCTGTCTTCAGCGGTTTACACCGTTTGTCGATTTATGATGGTGAATGGTTAGGTGTGCTTACCATCGACTATTTCAGAACTCATTGTCTTTCAAGGTGATTTAACATCACTTTGAAGTGTTTTGTGTGTTGCTAAAGACAGCAAAAGCTTCCTTGTCAATGGGAGTGGGAGTTGATCTTCTCTCTTCGTTTTTCATGTTGGTGGGAGTTAAAGTCCGGATTAGAGACCAGGATAGTTTCTATTCATGTATTGGGTTCGTGTGGCTCGGAGTGTACTAGGTGTCATACCACCTGTTATATCAGATTTGAACCAATCGTCTGTCATGATTTATCACCGGCTTTCAACTTGGCTGATTAATTCTTTGAGCACCCACACCGATGGAAGTTTCATCAGTTCATAGTGTGTGTGTGTGAATTTGTGTCACTGATATCTGACGCACACACAAGTTGTTTTTCGTGGCTGATATACTTTGACACTTCTTCTGCATTTTATTTCTCCTGTGTTTATTTTATTTATATATTTTCTGTTATAACATTTGCGTAGGATTCAAATGATCAACCAATCTCATGGGTTCGTGTACACATCGATTATATGCGTAGTGAATTGTCCACTGGTTCAACTGATCAAAATGGTCATTTTAGCGTTGTCTTACCACCAGGAGTATATCGTATAACACTACGGGCTAAAGGTTATTTAGATTTGAGTGAAATAATCAATGTGGATATAATGAAAAGTCCTATTCATCGTGTATTTCGTATGAAACATGTCGGTGGATTGTCACCAGCTTATCGTTTATACGTGGTTGGTATGATTGGTAAGTAATGCGTTTATTTTCCGTATTTTCCTTTCGATACATTTGAAAAGTTCCACTTAGAGATGTGTAGACTGACTGCCTGAAGTGGGGGTGGGGTAGGGTGGGGATTCTAAGAACCAGTGACTGGAGAATGTTGTCGACATGGCTAAAAGTAGCTCTCAATAGCTCAGAAGCTTTCAATCTTTTTATGAACACTTAGATCTATCACAGTTTCATTGCTCTCGATTTGTTTATTCTTTCTCCTGTACATTTCAATTCGTCAAAGCATCTTGGAACTTATTTTGTGCTTTATATGAAGTCCTGTAACTTCAACTTTTGTGGAAACGCCTACTTTGATAACCATAACTCAGTCAGTGAGTAGAAGTAGTAGTAGTAGTTAGTCATTTTAAACGTTAAACTTCCCTTGAATGCCATAAAAGATAATGGATGTTTGGAGTTATTTCTTATTCTGTAGTACACTCAATTTTTATTATATAATTATTGCATGGTTTTTCAACTCTTTGAGTGGTTAACTGAGATTATAGAGAAGTTTGCAGATTTAATATATAGTTAATGTAAGTGTAGAACTTGGGCACTGTGGTAGAATGTAATTCCATATTGGATAAGTTTATTTTAATAATCACACAGTGATGCAGTATTAACAACTGGATGACGTTTCGAGTATAAATTATCGTGTCTTCCATTGAGTGTTGAAGACATGAAAAGATTAGCTGTCTTTGATCATAGGTGTCTGCGTTCTATCTCCCTTGTGAAGTGGTATAATAAGGTGAGCAATATTGAGGTTAGGCGTCGAGTGCTAGGTAAGGAGGGGAAATCAATCGACGAGGCTGTGAAATTACATCGACTGAGATGGTTAGGACATGTGTTACGCATGCCTAGCCATCGTCTTCGTCGACAACAGGCAATGTTGGCTGACATAGGATGGATCAGGTTGGAAAAGAGCCAGTGGTGGTCAAACCAAAACATGGCTTCATCAGTCTATGAAATCCACAACAATTAGTTTCAGCTAGCCACGTAGGAGGGTGTCGACTTCCTGGTTGGGGTACTTGGGACGATAAACACCAATGGAGTCTGGGGACAATCGGTGAAACGGCTCAAAACCGTTCTCAATGGCTCGTGCAGATGCATCCACTCCTTGTGACTTCTAATTTCCAATGGAACTGTTTTGTTCTTAGTTATTACTATTCTTTTTGTCTCACACCTCTGTTTACTGTCTCTAATATGCATTTCTCCTACTTTCTTCTCTTGCTTCGTGTGCTACATGGAGTGTGGCGACTGGAGCTGCCGCACATATGTGCAAAGTTCTACGTCGAAAACAGACAGACTGACAGATAAATTATTGATGCTCATAATCATAACAATTTTAGTCACACATGTTCAGAATTTGTCTGACATATATATTCTGTCTATTGTATCTCTTCAACTTCCCTTTGTTGTTTGTTGCTACTTTCCATATATCTGGTATAGGCCTTACGTAGGATTTGGGTGGCATTCAAATCAATCAACCCGCTCAGAGATAATTCCATTGTGGGTAAAATTTAGTTTGATAAAGTCTCACAGTGTTATACGGTCATATTTACTGATGACGTTTCGAACACTATTTACTGCCCATAATCATATCACAACGAAACGTCATCAGTAAATATTTTCGTATAACACTGTGAGACTTTATCAAAAATAAATTTTACCCACAATGGAATTATACTCTACTACAGTGCACAGGTTCTATTCTTATATCTCTCAGAGATAAATTTTGTCGGCTTAAGGACCCAATAGATTTAATTAAAAAAATAATATAATTTACCAAATACCACGTAATGATTGTGAGTGAGATAAATTATATAGGTCAAACAAGTAGATTGGGGGCAACTAGATTATTAGAATATGAAAATTTAGCTAGACCTAGAATAATTGAGTTTTGATTTTAATATAGGCCTTCAGAAGCACATCTCCATTTCACCATGTTACCTGCAGTCTGTCTTAGCTGGTTCCACGATTGTCCATAAACCCTCATCTCCTCCTCACACGATCTTCTCCGTGTAACTCTCAGACCAATGCCAAACTCGTCATTTTGCACTCGTGTTTGACTCGAGGACCTGCCTGGATCGTTATGTCATCCAACGGTCTCCTCAGCGTGTGTCTGGTCCATTTCTATTTCCTTCTGCATATCCCATTGTCCTTCTCTCCGCTTCATTGGTTTTTGAGTGCGTGTGTACTACGGAAGAGTGTAACACTTATTCAGTATTCAGTGCTTCTTCTTTATAAGCAGTTTCTCAGAATCCGTGACTTTATAGATGTTCACGATCGCTAAATCTTTGAGTTTCATGCACGCTATTACTATTTGGCTTTGAAATATTGTAATGAATTTTTTTATAGAAAGGCACTTTTTTCTTCATGATATTGATGATGTGTAGTGAAAAAGAGATGTGTTGTGTGTGTTCTACTTATAAATACATTGACTGACTGAGTTTCAAAAGGTGTTTGCGTTCTATTCCCCGTATTAACTGTCATAGTGAAGTAAGCAACTCACTGGGTTTAGGTGTAGAGTGTTAGGTAGGGAGTGTAAGTCAATCGATGAGGTTGTGAAGCTAAATAGATTGAAATGACAAGGACATGTGTTACCCATGCCAAGCCATTGCTCTCCTAATCGAGCGATGTTAGCTGACATACAGTTAGGTTGGAGAGAAGAGTTACGGGTGGTTAAGTCAAAACCTGGCAGCAATCCATGAAGACTTTGTCAGTTAATTTGAGCTAACCAAGTAGGGACTTGTAAAGTGTCTGTTTAGTGTCCTTATGATACTAGGAACCAAAGGTTTGTAGCTCAAAATGGTTTTCAATAGCTCAGATGCATTCACTCTGTGTAATCCACTAAATCCGAGTAATTATTGTTTCTCCCTTAGATTTCCGTTCATTATAGTTCTACTGAATTTTTTTCTATTGTCTGCCTTATTGTGCAACATGGATTCTAGCAATTTGAACTGCCGCACTTTTACACAAAGTTCTACGTTGAAACTGAATTTGTCAGTCAACTGGGTCGTCGTTTCACTGCAAACATTAGTAATTTATTTGACTGAGTATTTTAAACTTAGAATGAGTTGCCACACTTCATGTATCACACAAAGTAAGACACAAGAGAGGAGAAAAGAAATTCGGAGGAACTCCAATAAGTAGAAATGTGAGGGAAAAACAATAGATATGACAGATCGCAAAGAGTGAATGCATCTTCGCCATTGTGAACGATTTTGAGGCATATCACAAATTGTCTCCACCCATTGGTTCTTACAGTCTCGAGGACGCTAACCAAGCGGTCTACACCCACCAACGTGGCTAGCTGAAACTAACTTTCAAAGGCTCCATGGACTGATCCCAGGTTTTGGTTTGACTACTCATAATCCTTTTTCAATCTAATCCAATGTCGACTAACATTGCTCGTTAAGAAAGGTGATGCCTAAGCATGCGTAACGCATGTCCTAGCCATGTTAATCGATGTAGCTTCACAACTCCATCGTTATGCCATCCCGTCCTATCTGACACTAGATGTCTAATCTGAGTATTTATCACCATATTATACCAATTAACACGTGAGGTAGTAGAATGCAAACGTCTATGATCATAGACAGCTAACCGTTTCTTGTCTTCCACTTCCAATAGCCATGTCTCACAACCAGCCATAGAGGAGGGCGGAGCGAATCTATGGGCAGTATACATGTTCATCTATGGATAGGTGGATATCATGTCCACGCCAGTGATGATGTAGGTTGTGCTCGACTGTCATGTAAATGTCCAGTATGATTGCATTATTTACCCATTCTGATCATGTTGCTCCACAGGATGAGAGGTATGTATCCTACTATCATAGGTATTTCCCCCCCCCCCCAAACAATTTTCTTTTCAGTTATCTTTGTTTAACAATGTTACCTGTTAATGTGTGTATCCTTTTTCTCTGTGTGTTTTTCTTTACAGCATCAATTGTTGCAATATTTTCATTAACTTTAACTATCTGTGTATGCTATCATTTCTGTTGTCATTCACGTGTACCATATGCAATTGTAAGACGTTCAGTTGGTAGATGGGATAAATCTTCACCATTATCATCATCAAGTCATCAAACAAAGCGTGGACCATATTCACTATTAGCTATGGATGATATACATACTTCGTATTGTAATGATAATGATGATGATAAATAATAACAACAGATCATCAAATAATGACTGTCTGGAATCAATGTTAACACATAATGACATCGATGAAGACGGAAATGATGGCGATGATTATGATGATAATAATAATGATGGTGTTGATGCTGAAAGTGACAATGGCAATGTAATAGTATCGCGTGATTCAAACCTACGTGAAACAAAATTGGGAACAATGAAGTCATTAGTTAAAACAAAACTATTTAATAAACGTATTTCAAATCGTATCCATACTACTAAAAATCGTAAATACATCCCAAAATCCATGTCATCCTATCGTGATGATGGTAATGACGATGATGATGATGATGTCCTTGAAGAGGTTCAACTTGTCTGAAAAATAAGCGACAACGCATATGTTCGTTGTTCAATGCAATTGAAATAAAAACATATATATATATATATATCCCTGGTCCGATCATATTCATTTTGTTTTGTTTTTTGTATTTATTTATTACTTTCTGTTGTGTTTTCGTCAATGTTGTTGTTGTTTTTGTAATGAATAAATTATAATCTCCATTTTTTTCAGACTGTATCTTTCATTGACACTAAGTCTCTTTTGTGTCTATCATGCATTCCAACCAAAAATCTGATGTGATCTCTGTGTATGTGTGCGTATGTGTTACATTTATCATTTAGGAAGAAAGTTTTAAAAAATTCACATCAAATTGTGATACATTTATTTTATTATATACACCTTTTCTATCTATTTTTATGCTTATACTTTGTTTGCTTAATTCAATCTTTTTATTAGACAGACATGAGTGATTTGTTCAATGTGTTCAATGATTGACTGTTTTGTTTGTTTCAATTCGCTGTGTTTTAATTTTGTCTGGCATATTTAAATTAATTTGTCATTTTGTGTGTTGCGTGCACTCATTATATTCTATTAAATGCCTTATTAATTCTTTGTATTATTGTAGAATTGAACACAGCAACATAGTGAAAATCAGGTTGCATATTGGTGAAAATCTGTTTCCTTTTTTTTTCTCACTGATTTTCTACTTACATTCCTTTCAGAAATATTTAGATTCCAATGATAGACAATCTCATGTACACACTGCTGTCCTACACGTTGCTCTTCTTTTGTTCACGCTTTTAGTAATTTATTTATTTATTTTATTTTTTAAGTGTATTTCTTGGTTTTGTATGTTTTTTAGTCGGTCCTCATCACAACTTGAAGTACTCACTGACATTTATTTAATTTGTTTATTTCTCATGCAATATTCAATTTTATTTTAAAAATGTTTCAATTCGTAATCGACACTTTCTATATGTAGTCAACTTACTTTTTATTTCTGTCTTTCGCCTCATTTGCATTTTTATTATTTTGATGTCTTTACAAGTTATTTATTTAAATACGTGTTGTCAATGTCAACTATGCGTTTGGCGGGTATTTTGCTTGATTTATTTTATTTCGAGAAAATAAGCATCGTAAAGCTTTTATATATTATACTTGATAGTGTTTTACTGTCTCTGTTTCATTTCTGTTGTAATATGACATCACTAAAACATTTACTGATATTTATTGTATTTTCATATATTCACTAATCATCTGAATAAGTGTAATGTCTGCATAATCTCTTCCTGATTTTACTATATATATATATAACATGTTGCTAAGTGAATAAAAGTTATATAAACATGTCATTGAAGTTGTACTTATATGATTTGTATTGTGCTCACGATGGTTCATTGTTAGAATGTTCACTGGCTATGTGGAAGATTTGGGTTCGACTCCCGGCCGACACATTCCTAAACATTGCTCAGCCGGTAATAAGCCTGGAAAGAGGGATATTTAGGTGAAAGACTAGCAACTACACTTTGTAGAAAAATTGCACCACATTTCGAAAGGCTTGAAGCCGTTTGTTTCCCTCAGATGTCAGGTAATGAAAAGCAATTTCTAAAAGATGGTTCATTCATTAACTCTTCTCTTGAAGACTTTTTTGTGACACTATTACTGACGTAAAAGCCAAAGGCATATCGGAAGGTATGTTATCTGTGTATTATGAGTGAAAGTTGCCTGTACTCTGTCGTCGCATATTGATCTTTCAATATGTGCGTCAGTGGCACGGTGGTTAGGACTCTCGCCGACCATGCACATGGTCCGGGGTTCGATCCCCTGCCGACGCACACCCGATATCAATGGTCGGCCTGCGAAATTTTGGCTACCGATATCACATACTGAAAATTTCATGCTTGTACCAAAATTACGGTGTGGAATCAAGCTATAATAAAAAAAAATCTGTGTGATATGAAGTTTCATTGTCATTATTATTATTGTTGTTGTTGAAACACAAACTGAGTACATTATGAGCACCAAGAGATGGGCCATACCAAATCTCATAGTTTGTTTGTGGGATAAGATACTGTTCGGACGCTCCAACCAAAGTAGATGGTTGTCATAAGGAGTCACCCGCTCAATCCTTTGGCTTGAAGTCTGATCCACAAAGCATTGGAGCGGTGTCATGGGATACATTCCTATGGTTTTCAGTGACCAAATCAGGTTCGAACCTTTCGGATTCTGGAGTCCATGTATACCATAGGTACAGAAATTAGGGTTTTCCAGCTCTCTTCTGTTGGCTTGCGTGTTTACTGTTTCAAGTACAGACGTTTACATTTATCCTTCTTTCAAATTTCATATACATTAAAATTATGATTAAACAGAGTGAACAGTCTATTTTTTTCAAAAAAATATCTAATTTAGATGAAACAGAGAGGAACACGCAAGCATGAAAAGAATTTCTAGTGACAGATAGGGAAGTTGGAAACAGTTTGAACAAGTATATTTTTTCTACAGGTGGTAGTTCTAAGTTGAATTCCTGGGAAATTATAGTATTTTCTGTCAATATTTAAGAGTTCATTCACAGGCGTGTTTTTTTTCAGTCAGCTGTTTTGTTCATTTAGCGATGAAATCTAATTGGTGGTCCCAGTTATTTAAATTTTCTGGAGTGCTTTTATGATCTTATAGTTGAGTGATGCCTTGAATTCATTGGACTGTTAAACTGACTGAGGTTTAGTAACTTGTTACCTAACTGTGTGTGAATCATGTTTCTTTTCATGTAGTTGTTTTATCTACAACCAAAAAATTGACTGAACTGAGTTTTCAACGTATACTTGTGCTCAAAAGTGTAGCGATTCAAGTTGTCATACTGTGGTGAGAGCTGTCTACTAGCCAAATTGGTAGACAGTAATTTACGTCAATATTTACGTTCCCAAGATTTGTCGTGAGAAAATGTGAACAAAGATTGATTCAAAACCGACCACAGCAGACTTTGCGTAGGCGGATGCAGTTAACATATAGAGGATTTGACATTCAAGAAACAGTCACAAATAGATGAAAGATTAACTTTACGTGAGAAACAACCAATCGGAAGACTGTGTTTGTTTACTTAAGTATCTATAGTAATGTACATGAAATATATAAATATGCGTTGATTTCCTTAATAAATGATCTGTTGCCTGACTCTTGCCTTCTGTCGTTACAATACTTCATAAAAGCCGGTAAAAAGGAATGAACAACAGTTATAGTAAAGGAAAATTTACTCGACGAAGTATATTTATATAGACAGTTATATGAATCTAGAAGATCATAGATAATGAGTGCGTCTACGCCATATCACAAACCAACTCAGACCAGTGCTTCTTATTGTGTCTGGCTCAAACCAACACTCAAAGACTTCATGAATTGATGTCACCACTGAATCTTTTCATCCCTCTGCAATATGTTAGTTAACACAGCTGTGAACCAGATAGGCGATGACTTGGCATGCAAAGCATATGTCTTGGTTATCTACATCTTTGCAGCTTCACAACATTATCGATTGATTTTCCTTCCTTACCTAACACTGCACTTAGCCTCATTTTTGACGCAGCATATTTTCTACCACTTATACGAACCACGAGACATAGAATGCAGTCTGTGTCAAATACGGCCAGCCACACAAACAATTTTCAAACATAGACAGCTTAAGAACTTTTTGACTAATATTTACAAATGTTTTCAAAACGCTGGGAAGAACACTTTAACGAGCAGTTTAATTGGCGTACAACCACGCTCAACCTGCCGAACATCCAGCACCTCCCTGAATGGGATAAAGACACAGGCCCTCCGTCCCTAACTGAGGTTACTAAGGTTGTCACTAGTCTGAAACGAGAAAAAGCAGCAGGACCTGATGGAATGACTCCAGAGGTGTTTAAGTACGGTGGAGACAGTTTACTGTCTGCGTTAACTAAGGTATTAGGCAGCGTCTGGGAATCAGAGGAAGTCCCATCGGACTGGTGTAAGTTATTGATTATCCCCACGTACAAGAAGGGAAACAAGTCTTCCTGAGATAATCACAGGGGGATTAGCTTGACTAATATGGTGGTGTCTAAAGTTCTAGGTTCAATAATAGTGCGTAGACTAAGTGGTACTGGGGAGAGAGAGAGAATCAGGCAGGCTTTGGACCAGGAAGAAGGTTTATTGATCATATCTTCACTCTTCGACAGATTCTGGAACATAGGCATACTTACCGGCGTCCAACAATCGTTATATTTCTTGACCTAAAGGCGTCATTCGATTCTGTTGACCGAGAGTTACTATGGCGATGTTTGGCTGTGAAGGGAATGCCGAGAAAATACATCGCACTGGTCAAGGCACTCTACTCGAACTCATGCAGCGAGTTGTCATCTGAAGTGATGACAACTAATGGCGTCCGACAAGGATGTCCACTATCCCTATTTCTTTTCAATTTCATCATAGATGTACTAATGGACTTGACCCTAAGTGACTTCAGCGACTCAGGATTGACTGGTTACCGTCAGGGAATAATCTCGTTGACTTAGAATATGCAGATGATATAGTCCTTCTAGGTGAAGACGATAACAAAATGCAGAATCTTCTTAACACCTTGAGCTGCAATCTACGGATTTTTGGCATGCAATTCGCTCCCGCCAAATGTGAAATAATGTTACAGGACGAACGACACTGAATCCTGGCTTACTAATAGGGAGTGAAGAGGTAGCCCACATTGACAGCTTCACTTATTTGGAAAGTTGCATCAGCCAGTGCCAGTGGGTTGATCACTGACGAAATCTCAGCACGAATACAGAAGGCTAATTCGGCACATGCCAATTTACGCCGTCTCTGGCGTAGACGTGATATCCGACTATCCACCAAAGGGCGTGTGTACTGCTCAGCAGTCCACTACGTCCTCATTTATGGCTGTGAGTCAGACCTGGCTCTTGAGAGTGGAAGACATGAAAAGGCCAGCTAACTGTCTTTGACGATAGGTGCCTGCGTTCTATCTCCCGTGTGAAGGGGTATAATAGAGTGAGCAATATTGAGGTTAGGCG